AGATTCCCGGAGAACTGATGTCACCACTAAACCGGCGGCCTTCCTCGGCAGTCGGAAGGAGCTCGAGCTCGAATTCCGACTGAGGTACATCCCGGGGTGACCGTAGCCACCTCCAGAGTGGGACACTTTCGCGCCTCTCACTGCTCTACCTGCTACTGCTCAGCCTTAGACCTCCGGCCCCACTGGGCTATCACCTGTCCCGGGTCGTTAGCAGTGGCCACATCACCCCAAGATGTGGCCGCATATTCTTACATGGGTAAGACAATAATTAAGAGAGTAAGAGAGAGAGTATGAGAGTAAGAGTAAGAGGTAAGAGAACAATTAAAAATGAAATTGATACGATATTCCAGTTTTTTGTTTTGAGAGATTTGTTGTATCACGGCGAAGAATAAAAGGCTTAAGCGTTTATTTTCTTGATAGTAACCACATGCAAAGGCCCCGGTTGCCAACTGTCCTCATCAGTCTTCTTGGTTGTTTGGCTTGTGGTGCTAGCAAATTAAGCTCAATCGGCAAAACCCGCTGCATACTTATCATTTGAATCAACTAGTGTGTACATATTGTACATGTACACAAGTTTGTTGGATATATGTTAATTTTTCGGTTCGTCGAATGTTTAGATCGAGTTTTGTACACGCTTTATATTAGCTGCACTTGTATGTTTGTTTCTTTGTAACCGACTCCTTTGGGCGTGATTTTGACTGACTATAAACGGTCAGAATTCGTTCAACTTTGTAGATATATCGAGGACCGATGACAATACATAAATAAAAAATAAAAAAAAATAGTTTTATAAAACTAAAAACACGCTTTCAATTAAAAAAAAAATATAGTTTTAAAAAACTAAAAAACACGCTTTCTATAGAAACCAAACTAAAAAATAGAAAATAAACTTGAAAAAAAGGGTGAGGTGCTTTTTACTATTGACAACAGGCACCAAACGCTTTTTTTTTTAAATATTATATATTTTTTGGTTTTTTTAAACTATATATATTTTTTTAATTAGTTTGAAATCATCCGTTTACTCTATTTGATTTTATTGTTGTTCTATAGACAAAATTTAGTTATGAGTATTTATATTGGTTAAAAATTATTAGTTATAAATATTTATCATGGTTAAAATCATTGAAGGTTTCAATTATAAATCATACCTACTACTTAATGTTCCAAAAAAGTTTCCAATCACAAAAGCATGTAAATATGAGTATTTAAGTAATGGAGTAGTAATCTCTGTCTTTAAACACTCTGAAATCCATTAGCAGACTTAATTTTATATCTTACTAACAAAAGACCATTATAATCTAAGCTTAGACCATTTATTTCTTCTTTCCCTAATCAAAATAAAATTGACTTCTGCTATTGAATGTTTAATGACTATCAGTCATTAAACAAAATCAATAAGAAGTGTACGCTGTGCTTTTGGCATAAAAATACTATGAACATTAGATCGAAAAAAAAAATTTTTGGAAAGATATTTTTTATTCAGAAGGGAAGGTAAGGGATTAAAAATATAGATGTTAACATATAGGTATACCTATATTTTATTCCCGATACCGATAACCCTAAGGGTAAAAATTAAAGAATATAATTCTTCATGTTGCAAGCGCATTGAAGTCGATGATATTTTAGTGACATTTTATTATTTTCGTAGAATTGATTTCGATTTCACGCGGCAACAAACACAAAAGAAACATATAGTTCGGCTGTATGTTTTTTATTAAAGTCCTCATGTGAATCTTCTCTTTTTTGTGAAGTCAGTTTTAAAATTCAATCTTTATACGAGTAGGTAAATGTACCTACTTCTTATCTCTTATTTAACAGAAGTTTAAGGGTCATATGTTTAAGTAATTACTCCTAAACTGCCGTGATCGGCATTAAAATATCACCAAGATCATTTTTGAAGTTTAGGTCATTATATCTTTAGGTATCTTAGTGCATCACACCTTGATGAACCATTTTTTACAGGCCTGTCCCTAAAATTGACGAGATGCATATACCTTTCCTAGCTAATACTACCTTAGGACATAAGCAACGGCCGCTTACAATATTAAAACCAACTGAATTGAACTGACATTCTAAATCCTTAAGCAGGCGCAAAAAAATACGGTAGGACTCCATTTTAGACACAAAGTATTGCCCAAATTTCGACAAACGTTAACCGAGAGAACCCTCGCAGGGTTATTGACATGACCCATGTAATGTGGCCTCGGTACAATCGCGATAAAACATTTCATAGATTATCCAATTCATGAACCGTTATATTTTTTTCACTAACATGAGTGCCATAGACGTCTTTAGTTATTAAAAATCCAGATGGTCAATACGAATTTGGAAATAAAAATTGTAGTTCTTCCTTCAAGTTTTCAAAATGTGTTTTACAAGAAAATCGGTAGAGATTCGATGGTGGGAGCCGTGCAGTTCGCTCTATAATTGGTGGACTTCAAGATGCTTCAGGTACTTTACCTTTGAAAGACTGGGAGGTAGACTTTAATTACAAGAGTCACTTAGGTACCTTTTATTTTTAATTTTTACACGTAATCTCGAGACGATTGTTGCATAAAATTTTAATTTTACTTTCACTCTATAATATAATTACCGACTTGTTTGTAACGACTATTCGAAATACCTATTCCCACTTATTGTGATTTTTTCGTATTATAAATCTTGCAGCTTTATAGTTAGAATGCTTTTGGAGGTATAAGATTGATAAAACGTTTTTGTAAATTTGTACTCAATGTAGTAAAAAATGATAAAACAAATTAATAACGTTTATATTCAGGTTATACGTCAGAATATTTAAGGTAGTAAACAGAAAAAAAAGAAGTTTGACTGTAGCACAGAGCAACTTGCCTAATACATAGTACCTACCTATTATAGGTATAGTATACATAGGTCATTCTGCGATGATATATAAATAAATAGCGACTCTAGCTAACATGTAATAAAGAACAATATAACTTGTACGACAATCCAACAAGGTTAAACCAGAATATCTAGAAATAATATTTACACCGCGCAGTCTTTTAGCTGAAAAAAAGACGTATCTGCCACTGAGTCTTTACAGTCAGTCAATAAAACAGGTTACGGTGCACATAATTATCGATATACGAATAAGGCGCGAAAGTTCCGAACTGCATTTCTGAATTAAATTCGTTTTAGACCTAAATCGACTTTAATGAAGTCAGCCTTCAAACTTCCTGTGTATTTTTAAACAAAAAATAATGTCATGTTCAAACTATAGAACTCTAGAACTAAAGAGCATCATCCATCACGTTCAGAACTTTTCGCCTTGTTTGTTCTAATTCACAGTATTTAGAAATCACAATGTACCTACCTCAGTTACCCTTACTGACATTACATTGCTTCAAAATTTCAAGGGCTGTTTATATTATTATTACATTAATAGGTATGTGAAAAAAAAATCCTTTGAACTTTTTTTTATAGAAATATGGCAGTCTGATGCATATTTTATTTAAAATACTTAATGTTTTTATGTAAATAAAGTGCTGAAACCGAAAATATATAGCCTATGGGCTATAACTTTGAAATTAGGTGAAAATTGGTAAAATATCTTCATACAATGACAGTTTAACTTATGACTAGTCCATGAAATAAATCATTCAAAATGGTCAAGTCTTCTGGTACATTTAATACCTAATTAGTTGTCATGTTAGTTCAATAGTATTTTTTGTATAGATGATGAATAAGTGCAGAAGAGGCAGTTTTAATGCCTTAGGTTTTGAATACTAACAGCCTCTTATTAGAAAACAAGACACTTCCCATTGTGCATAATACAGTAATGCAATTTGTTCTTAAAGAATCATAGATCTGGACTTTTTTTATTAGTACCTAAGCAATAATCAGTCACAACACTAGGACCCAACAGAGTATTTATATATTTTATTAAATTTATGTAGGTTTATGTATGTATGTTTACTTATGTATGTGTGTTTATATATTGTGTGTGTCTCTTTACTTCAATTATGGTAAATTTAATATTTTATTTTGCACCTAACACATTATATTTCTACATCACTTGAAGGTTGACTGGGAGAGAATGCCTAATGGCATTAAGTTTGCCTTTGTACAACATGTGGATTAAGTTTTAAATAAATAAAATCAACTCAGCCAGTACTGCTGCATCTTCAAAAATATTTTTTCTATTATTTTGAGATAGCATATATGTATGATTTGTAGGTTCAGTATCTCAATAGACCAGACAAATACAATTTTTGATTCTAGGAATCTTTTACTACCTCAGTTAAATTTGTGCTTAATAAAGATGGCTCAAAAAGTTGTTGAACATATCGCCTCTTAATAAATGAATCTCTATTTTTAAGGGTAAATAAAAAAAATAAAAGATATTTGCATTTTGATCACAATGTATTCTTTAGAGTATAACCCTGTACTTCTTGTATTTAGAATTAGTTTACAACAGTTGTTACATTATGCAAATTATACATATTACATAAATATGTACGTATAATTGTCATATAATGCAGTTTAATTAAATACCTAACACCTATACTTCTTCTTATCTCTCTGGAATATTCACAAGATTTATAACCATGCAGGTAATACTTGGATGAAGGATCATATCAATCAGATATAGGGAATTTGTTTTTAGACAATTGTTTCAATACAAATCTAAAATGTATGTCACAATTTAAGTAAAAACACCAACGACTCATTGATGATCAGGTACAACCAGCTGATTAAGATAACACATTAATCACATCACGATAATACTCAATGTTACCCACCCAGTTTGATCATGACAAATCAGCTAAATATTAAAAATAAATTACCTAAAAATAAATAATGTGTGATAACTTTAACCTTACAAACGTACAAGTCTTTCTAAAACAAAAGCAACAACCAATCACTGTTTGTCATTTCAAAACTAATGCCATTAAAATATAATCTAAAAAACTATGTTAACTTTAAACTCACAGTCCTAATTCAGTCAAATTAAAGCTTTCAAGTATGAGGAGGGATGGGGCTCAGAATTTGAGCTTGGGATTGAGCTCGTGAGCTCGGCCGCCCCAGTCCAACCGGTAGCTGCGAGTCCGCCATGAGATTTCCGGACTGAGAAGCGCCGCCGCAAGGACAAAAGGCGCGCAACACTCACTCCACACCCAGCCCAACAAAAACTGCACTTTTGTAAACGGTGGCGAACCGTTTTGCACTGCGCGAAGCATTAACCAGTCCGAGAGAAACCAAGCTAGCACATGCACTAAAAAAAAGGGAAGCGGCTCTGCACCGAACAATTGTCCCGCAGCCCACGCAGCACCTGCGCCCAAGGGCATACACTCACTGAGAGGTTCTAATAATGCCGTCGTCGGGACCATTGCAATCCTTAAACGCGCCCACCGTCGAAGACGTGCCTGTAAAGCACCCACTGATCTTGTCCCTGTGTTTTGCAGTGCAGGCAGTGAACACACACGCATTTTCCACTGTCGTGATGTGATGTCCTTTGCTAAAAAGTAGTCTTCGGCGAGGTAATCGCCGAAAGCTCTTAACCCGCCTGATTCCTCCAGCGCACAGCGTCGGACCATCGACGACATGCCAACGTGACAATTGATGCCTAATAAATCAGCGCACATATACATGCGCGCCTGCGCAGTACCGAAGAACACCTTCTCGTAGACGGCGGCGAAACCTTCAGCGTCACAGGTAAACGGCATCTGATGCACGATGGCTACATCCTCCCTCATATGCTGCACCATATCAAGTAGCGAGTCATCTCTCATCCTGATGCCTGCGTCGCTGATCAGCACCAACGGGTATTTTGCCGCCAAATACGCCGGCTGCATATTGTTGATTTTAGGGTTGACGCCAACTCTCATACCTCCCGTAAAAAGCTTAGCATCTACGTGTGGATGTTTATGTTTTAAACTGTTCACTAACATCACTGCCGGGTCACGTTCATTTTCTACACAAAAAAGCAATTCATATGTAGGATAGTCCAAGGTGAAAAACGTTTCCAAGTTCGTAAAGAGATTTGGATCCACACCGGTAAGAGGCTTTAGGATCGAAACGCCGGGGTACGGCTGCTCAGGCGGTGACCGGTCCACAGTCCGATGAAGCTTCCACTTTGAATATGAGTAAGCCATTATGTGAATTAACCACAGACACACCCAGGCGATAATAAAAAATATGGCAAAACCATACACCGTATACACCATAGGCATCATAATTGTATCCTTATGTAGGTGTCGCGTTCGGGCCGCATAATATCGACTGGTTTTTTGTTAAGAACCGTGCGCTACGACGCGATCATAACACTGAACTGAATGTGTGATAAAACAAGAAGTGACGTTAAGAATGTACACTCCGTAAAACGATTCAACATTTTATATAATCGTTCCGTCTACAGCTAATAATTTATCATTTTAACAGATGCCAGCGGCCGATTTCGTTTTACGATTGCACTATAACCGCTGGCGCTGGATACTGTTAATACTGTAGAGCTCTCGTAAGAGAGTAGATATATTCTTTGCTGTAGAGTGTAGATACAGAGTAGTGTAGCAAAGAAGATTCTAAAACAATGTTGCCGCTTTATAAATAGCTCGACAACTTAACAACCAAAATATTCTACTAAAAGTTTTCTACCGACCGACAAAGACTGGAGTGATACTTTATACTATTTAAAGCTATTTAATAAATGAGAATTTAGTTTTTACTAAATAATACTTGATGACCTCTTCCAGACATAAACATATTCACCTATCGAAAATCAAGTTGCGAACATCTCAAAACAAGTTGTCTAATAATAGTTTTTTGTTCTTAAAAATATAGTAGGAATGAAGCAAATATTTTTGGATAGGTCCTAAGTACTAATATTAAAATACTGAAGTTTTACTTGAATTATGCTATGAAGAATTGTGAGATTTTCACAAATATAAAAAGAGAAATTGATAGACTACATCATGTTTAGACGAAAAGCGTTACCTGCTATTGATTGATCTTGTGAATAAACAATATTACATAGTATATGTAATATCGCCATCCTCCAATAAAAATATTTAGTAACATAAAATAGCTTACTTTTTTTTAAAGGCAGGATTTAAAAATTATTATCAAACCCTGTCAACCTGTCTGGATATCATGATATAGTGGATAAAACCTTCTTTCTAAGAAGCCTATGTCCAGCAGTGGACAATTAAAGGCTGATAATTTGATGTGTGTGATGCGATCTAACTAATTTCTAAATCCTAATTTTATTTGCTATCAGTGTATTTTGAGCCATAATGGAATTTACTCGGCATATAAAACCAAGCAACGTCCATACAAAAAGTGGACCTGACCTGTGTCTTTTTTGGGTTGAACTAGATTCGATTTAGTCCTGCTGGACGAGGCGGGCAAATTGTTTGAGAGGGTTCTTTCTGCCCGCATCGTCCGGCACCTCTGCGAGGTGGGCCCCGATCTGTCGGACGCCCAATTTGGTTTTCGGGCGGGGCGTTCGACAGTCGACGCCGTGTTGCGCCTGAGGGCCGTGACCGAAGAGGCAGTGAGCTGTGGCGGCGTGCTGTTGGCGGTGTCATTAGACATCGCCAACGCATTCAATAGTCTGCCATTCAGCTGCATCAGGGAAGCACTCCACTATCATGGGGTGCCAAAGTACCTGAGGCGGCTAGTGGCAGACTACTTAGAGGAGCGTACCGTCGTGTACGAGGACCGAGAAGGTAATTTGAGGAGTCGGCCCATGTCGTGCGGTGTTCCACAGGGGTCTGTTCTTGGACCCCTCTTGTGGAACATAGGGTACGACTGGGCCCTTCGCGCCGATTTCCCCCCCGGGCTGGGTGTAATCTGTTACGCAGACGATACCCTCGTGACAGCCCGGGGGGCAAACTTCCAAGAGGCGGCGCGCCTGGCCACAGGGGGAGTCTCCCTGGTGGTCGGGCGCATTGAGGCGCTGGGCTTACGGGTGGCCCTAGATAAGACGGAGGCCCTGTTATTCCATGGGCCCCGTCGTGGTCCACCCCCTGGCGCCTCAATCGTGGTCAACTCGGTCCTCGTACCGGTTCGGGCCCAGATGAAATATCTGGGCCTGATCCTCGACGGGAGGTGGCTCTTCGACGAGCACTTCCGACAGCTTGCTCCAAAGCTGGTCGGCGCTGCGTCTGCCCTAGGGCGACTTCTGCCCAATATGGGTGGACCCAGCGTCGCGACAAGACGGCTGTACACGGGGGTTGTCCGGTCAATGGCACTGTACGGTGCACCGGTGTGGGCGGCGGCTCTGACCGCCCAGAATAGGGTACGCCTCTGGCGCCCTCAGAGGGTAATGGCGGTCAGAGCCATACGCGGTTACCGCACCGTTTCGACGGAGGTGGCATGCGCATTGGCCGGAACTCCCCCGTGGGATTTGGAGGCGGAAGTGCTCGCCGAAGTTTATCGGCGAGTGGCTGACTTCCGGGCGGAGAGCGGATTTCGCCCTCCGCCCGAGGATGTGCGCGAGTGGCGCGAAGCCGCTCGCCGAGCCACGATGGCTCGTTGGTCGTTCCGGCTGGAGACTCCACGCGCTGGCTTCGCCGCCGTGGAGGCTCTCCAGCCGGTCATCGCCGAGTGGGCAGGGCGGCAGCACGGGACCCTTTCCTTCCGGCTGACGCAGGTGCTTTCCGGGCACGGTTGCTTCGGAAAGTACCTGCACACGGTCGCAAGGAGGGAACTGAGTCCCGCCTGCCACCACTGCGACTGCAGTGAGGACTCGGCCCAGCACACGCTGGCGGTCTGCCCCGCATGGGCGGCGCAGCGTCGGGCCCTCACTGCAGTCATCGGAGTGGATCTCTCGCTACCGGCCGTAGTACGCTCCATGGCCGGTAGCGACAGTTGTTTTACCGCGGTCGCTACCTTCTGCGAGGTAGTAATCTCGCGGAAGGAGGCGGCGGAGAGGGCCCGGGAGGACGACCTCCACTCGGACCCGATCCGCCGCCGGCGAACCGGGCGGCGGAGGCCCGCATCACAGCCTCATGCCGCCCTGAGTGTGGCCGCGGGTGGACGGGGTGGGTTTCCCCTCCACCCGCATTAGTTTGGCCAGCCGCGAGGGGGCGGCGTCCGCGTGTGCCGGACGTCGCCTATAAAGAGAGGAAAAACATCGAGACGGAGCCCGCACCAGGAGCGGGCTGGCGCTAGGAGGGGTCCGGATGTCTTAACAACAGCTGTTCCCGGATCCCTCCTGTTACAGGCGCAGAGTGGCACACCGTGTGGTTTTAGTCGGTCCGAGTCCGACACACCACCCCGCCTCAAACCCCGGAGGGGTGACGGTCCGAGGGGATTTCCACACGTTAAAAAAAAAAAAAAAAAAAAAAGATTCGATTTAGTCGGCCCCAATCTGTAACCTCCGCTGAGGAAGTTTTAAAATCTTTTAATCGGTTTAGCCAATCACGCACTTTTCTTTAGCTTTTAGAAAATCAGTAAGCATTTTTAATTAAATCTTTAACAAAGCTTCATCACCATCATTGGGAGACCACCTGCCGGACCGCCACTTGCAGAACTTATTTAATTTCAAACACAAGTTTGTTTCGTCTCTCGATGTCATTTTCTTGAGAAATAAAGGGCATCTCCTGTGCCAAACCATATTTTCGGTCATTGAGTGAGGTGGTGATCATCTAAGTACCGGAGGAGCTGACTGTTGTATATTATTATTATTATTATAGCCCTTTAGTTGGACGAGTCAGAGCGGTCACCTTTTTTAGGGATCGGGTGCACAAATGCTACCTTTCAGGAGTTCAGGACGACGCCTTGGGAGTAGGAGAGACGAAAAAGGCGCGTTAAAACCGGTGATAACTCCGGAGCATACGTCTTCAACACGATAGGAAAGATACCATCGAGCCCACAAGACTTATAAATGTCAAAAGAGTGCTTTACGCACTGATTTTTGTGTGAACCAGATATCCGGCATATAGCTCTGGCACCGGAGTATGGTCGGCGGTACGTTTCCCACGTAATCCAAAGTCGAGTTGGATGCAAAGAGTTAGCCTAGGAGATCGGCTTTCTCCTCGGCATCCTAAGCCAACGAATTATCTGCCTTCTGCAAGGGTGGAAAGGATTGGCTACAGAAATGCCCTTAGACCTGGAACCAAAGTTATATTGTTTTTTTAGCGTGCTGGTATTTACATCGCCTGCTGTCGCTGAATTTGCCCATGCTTGGTAGCATTCCTGCTTTCGCGGGACTTGATTTTGCAGGAACTGTCGAACCAGGGCTTGGATATGCCACCGATTCGAATTAATGTAGAAGGAACAAGTAGTTCCATGCCCTAAGGTACTACATCAGTGACAGAATCGGCAACGACGGTGGGATCATCCAGCAAGAAACAGACCTGCCTCCATGGGAAGGACGCAAAGTAGGAGCGCATCCTATCCCAGTTCGCTGACCTGTAGTGCCATACACGGCGGCATCCTGTGTGTCACTGTACTGCGGATTAGACAATGATCCGAGGAGCCTAGTGGGACTTCAACGCCGATTTTGGAACCGTCTGGATCGGAGGTCAGCAGAAGATCGAACAGTGAAGGCTCATGACTTTTCACATCCGGAACTCGTGTGGGCGTTGATACCAGTTGTGACAAGCCATAGGTCATGGCGAAATCGTGAACAGATCTCCCCGCATGATCGGTCTTGCATGAGCCAAGCCATTCGGCGTTGTGAGCGTTAAAGTCACCAAGTATCACGATCTCCGCGGATTGGATCTGCTGCAGCACGGAATCTGTAGCCTGTATTAATCCAGAGAGGAATTCTCCAACGCTAACGCAGCTGGCATACGCAGGGGGCATGAAAATTATTCTACCTCAGGAGGGTACCTGAGGTAGAATAATTTTCATGCCCCCTGAGCTATCATGAGGGGGGGATAAAGGGGGGTTGGGCTCCGGAAACCTCACTCATTCGCTGAAATGCAACAGAGAAATTGCTTTACGACTTGTTTTTTGTGAGGCCGAGGTATCGCCCCGGTCGAGCCGGCCCATTTTTGTAGAAGCATAGCTTTCCCACGTAAGTATTGTTTAACCATGATAAAAAATATTTACTAAAGAACTCATTCTTTCAATGAAGTGTATTTGAGATCAAATTCTGTCACTTGCTGGTTCAAAATGATGTTTAAACCTGACCAAAATAAATTTTCTAAATTAGTAAGCTATGGCTAAGAATGGGCAACGAAACTTTAATCGAAACAAACCTCACACTTCACGATTACCAACATAATACAAATAAAAGTTGCACCACAGAGATGTAAGCATAGAGTGACCATTGTCTCTGTTTAGATAAACTGCGATTGGGTATCGTGAAGTGGGCATTAATCTCACATAATTAACAACCAGCCATGGAGCTCAACTAGAAAGAGATCAAGAGAAATATCTATTATCCATCTCTCACGTTTGTTTGTTGTCCAAAAATGCCTGAAAAAGTTTTCACTTTAATAGGTGTTTTATACTTTTAACTGGCTGTAGACAAGAAAAGATAAATGCTTTAGAAAATATTGTCACTCTTCTTGTCATTCAGAATACTTCAATAAAATAAATTATTATTTTTTTAATTTAAGGCTGGTAACACTGGCAAAAGAGGAAAAGGAAGTACCAACAAACCTGGAAGTTTACATGTCAAGAAATATAGCGTCTTTTCAAATTGTTTCGCGGCATTTTGAAAATCTTTTTTTATTTTGTAATGTTGTCCTGAATATTCATCAATACAATGGATGTCGGGAAACTATTAAAGGATGTAAACAGTTTAAACGAATATATTGATGTAACTCAAGATAGTTCAGAAAAATGTACAAAGTCAAAAATACAGCTAAACATGACAACTGTTCTTGCTTTGAAGAAAATTCGTTCATTGGAAGTTGAAGTATGTGTTGCATATTTCTAACTAGCCTCTGATCAATTCTTTATCCAATTATTTACCCAACCTGAATATTATACTATATTAACCTGCACATTATCTGACGACATAATAACTATAATTTGAACATTTTAGTATGTGAATAAATGTGAAGAGATTGGAATCGCAAGCGTTATTTTCGAACGCATGTTGCATTTGCCACCTTCCAAGACATGGGGAGTTCTCAGTAAAGAGATGGTGAGCCTTCTGCGGTACTGGCTTGATGCTGTACGCAAACATTTAGTTAAACATAGTCCGCACTGGTGGAAATTTCTAAAGTCATTACTGAGGTTCTTAAAGGTAAATTATCCTTATTACTAATGTATCGGTCTTTGAGAATACTATTATACTTATTTTTTCACTTATACACTTACACACAATAAACTACTACTGGCAATACTTATTTTCCGTTCTAGAAAAAATGCCTGCCTGCTCATGAAAAGTGTTGATCTACCTGCTTAGGTATTATTTATTTTCTAAAAAATGTTAGCCCCTGTGTACATTTATAGTTGGTAAACAGATATTGAAATCTCGTCTGGCCAGCGAGTATACTTGGCCAAAACCTTACCTGGTTGAAGTAACGTCTAATAGTCCTTCTGCCCTAGCAACCAATAACAGAACATTTATCGGGCTTTACAAACATTTATTTATTTGTACAGGAAATACGGCTGAAGGACAGCTCAATGCCCAACATATTAGTTGAACATACAGCCGAGTGTCTGTTTGACTTGGCAACCACAAATGAGCCAGATGCTATGCAGCGGTACGAGATCCTTCACTGCTTCAACATGTACTGTTCGGAATCCACCAGAGAGATAAGATTTGCACTCCGAAGCAAGTTTGGACAATATTTGTAAGTAGTAGTCAAAATATTGATATATTGAAATTATATTGGAGCGCTATTCTATCGCATACAAGTTAGGACTACTTTGCGCTATCATACTATGGCCCTTAAGAGTTCAGCAGTGACCTTAAAGTGAATAGAATGGGATAGTATAAAAAACCGTTAGTTAATATATTTTTATTATTTATTATATTACCTGATGGTAACTGACAACCAACGTCCATGAGCACCTGCACCTCGATGGTTACAAGTGCGTTGCTGCAGTAAGAATAACAAATATAAAATACATACATATATACAGAAATCAGAATCAAGGGTAGGCTGGAAGGTTTGGGCCCCAGGTAACCTTACACAGTCGGTAAAAAGGAACATAAGAACTGCTTAACACTAGTTTTCTGCTTTGGTATTTAATTGCAAGGCAAAAAGTTTTAATTTATTTTTAACCCTCCCACAGCATCAAGCTCGCGACCTACATGTCTAAATGTGGGAACCTGCCTACCCAATACAGCATCATGGAGACTCTGCTCCGGTGGTTAGTGCCTCGCCAGGACCGTACCCTGAGGATCACTTCTGCTTCTAAGTGGTTCCCTGTTAGACTGTACACTAAAAATGTCATTGATATATTCTTGGAACGACCTTGGATGAATTTTTTCCAGGTAATACTGATGTAGCTGTGGTGTATTACAAATGACCTGTAGGTGGAGGAGTTAAAACATATTACATAATAATTCACTTTAAATGAGTCTAACTGACTACAATGTGCTTAATTCGTGATGAAGTGCAATAAACTGATTTCTCCAAATAAAAAATTACACTAATATTATAAAGGTGAAAGTTTGTGACTGTCTGTGTTAGTATGTTTGTGACTTTTGCCCGCTCAAACGGCTGGACCAATTTTGATAAAATTTGATATGACGGATGCTGGATTAATACCGCTAGGTACTTTTTATCCCGAAAAAATATAGTGTTCCCATGGGGATAATCAGGGTATTGATAACACATGAGTAACACCGCGGGGATTAGCTACTAGTTTTGTTAATGAGTTTATAAATGACGGAGTTCTGGGGTGACGAACATAAAAGAAAAAAAATATGATCGAATTAAAAGCCTCCTTTTTTGAAGTCGATTTGAAAAGAAAAGATAACAATTTGGAACAACGATAACTGTTTGATTTTTAAATTTTTTTAGGACGCAAGAGACTTATTGAACGCCCATAATGAAAGCAGCAACCTCATCACTTCAGTTATTTGCCGAAAACTTACCTTCGGTGACATTATTATTATAAAGGTGAGTTATGGCTGTGCCATGCCGTGACGGATTAAGAATACGGAGTGTCAAACCCCTATTCATTCCGTGGGTGACGTAAGAGCTGACTAAGGGAGCAAACTACGCAGGACAACAACACTGCAAAGAGAAGGGAAACTTGAAACAAACTATACCAACCCGTCGGGCCAGCGTGTTATAGTAGGCCAAAACCTCCTTTCTACTCCTATGTCTAGCACGACTCATTTCATTGTCAATAGTAGGTAAATAAACTGAATGAGCTGAGCTAAAACTGATTTTTCGTTGCAATTCACCGAGTGAGCGGGGCTACTGGAGACCCAACCATTAATTTTGTAATTATGGGGGGAAGGGGGGGGGGGGGGTGGTCATTCAATGGGGTTGCCACGTACCTACTTGTGAATGTTGAGTTGTATGCAACATCTGTATTTATATTATTTCTGTGTCTGACTGAATCTCCCTTTATTTATGTTTTTCATGGCGCCCACAGTTAGCTTCCTCATAAAAAATATATTATTTTTATTTAAAAATTTTCTTAAGGAATGAAATATACTATTTTATCACCCTTATGAGCAGAAAAGTGACTATAAACGTTGATATAACTACGGGAATAATAATAATATAAACACTTGACATCCGACACGTACAACTGAGCCGCCTGCAGTATAATAACCAGACTGCTGATAAACGTACTTGTACATTTATATGTAGGTATGTACACACATTTATAGATAAATTGTATCCAGACCCAGAACAAACTATCTTCATCATCACACATACACCTGTTCTGGAATGGATTCGAATCCACGACCTCTTAGATGACCACTAGAACAACGGACTAGTAATAGCAGGAGAAGCTATTATTTAAATATCATAAGATTTGTATTCGTAGTTATAACGGTTTTTTTTTTCTAGGATACAGATAAAACAGACTCATGGTTAGACTTAAACTCTGCTAGCAAGTGCATGTCGGTGCTTCTAGACCCAAGAGTGTTGGATGCGTTCGGCTGCACCAATCACAAGTCATTTGAAACTTTCGTCGTGAGTGAGGATAACACTGAAACTGCCAAATTGACCAGGTAAAAGTCGGCCGACCCTATCTAGAACCTTGGTGAAAGCCCTTTTCCCCTTTCGCGGCCCCTATCATCAGGCTCTATTATGAGACTATTTCGTGATGCCATATTGTGTCGGTATAGATTGAGGAGGCATTTCAGATTTTAAACGTAAACTTTCCCCTTATTTAGTAGGTTTGCAAATAATTTTGTAGGATAAATTCTGAAATTTGTAGTACAATTTCTAAAATATGTAGGTATTTCTGTTGAGGAGTCACCTAGAACACGGAAAGTTTTAAATGAATATTAAAAAAAAAAGTATCATTTAGTAGTAATTGTGTATAGTGCCTACCAAAAATCGGAATCCATTACTGTTGATATTCAAGAATATACCATACTTTTAATGTGGCTCTTCAACCTATATTTAAGAGCGTGAACTGCCATGAAAGTAATAGGTCAAAATTTATATTCCACTTCAAAAACATTTAGTAGCAAGTGTATTTGAATTTGTAGCATCAGGAGAAAGTAGTAAAACTGACTGTATTTATTAAATAAACGCATTTTATTTGGCTCTTCAATACTGACGTTCTGCATAATAAATAATCGACTGTATCTACCTGAGATCACAACAGAAACAAAAACCAGAGACACTAACATTTAGTATAAATATTTAGTAAATAAATATGTATACAGATCAACATTGTTTGTATTCGGAACTTGAAAAACTAATTACTTTTTAATATTCCTTATGAATTCGCTATAGGGACCATTTCAAAAGAAAACAGGAGGACAAGTTTTTTAAATTAAATTTTCAACAAATTGACAATATCGAAATACAAATAATCAGGATGGACATAAGTGATATAATGAATTAATATTGGTTGTTCGGTGCTTTGACGAATGTTACCATTATAATTATAATTAATTGCAGGGATATATTCTGTAACACCTATTAATATGTATGATCTACCTGAAATCATTATAGATTCTGGTAGCTCGCTTACTCGCAACTTCGTACAAAGATTTAGTTCAAATGAAACTATGCTGCTGTAAATTTTAATTTAAATTAAATACACAACATACCTATCGTATTTATTTGGATAAGGAATAATGCTCTATTGTTCAAAATAAATTCGTAAATTACCTAATATTTGTTATAATATGTAAAAGATAAAAATGGTTACTGTGGGTAACTTTAAAATTATTAAACTACAAAATCGAGGATCGAGGCTACTTTTTTATTTAATTTACCAATAAATAATAATATTAATTTTATTTAGATATGAAAAGTGGCTCCTCAACCTAAACGGATACCCCATATTGACTATTTTATCATGTGAGAGAATAGGTTGATGTTTAAAGCAAAAAGGGCTCTATAGAATTCATTAGATTAAATTCTGAATAACTGGGAGTAGGCCCCAAATCAACTGTACGATCGTAATAATCGAGTTGAAGTGGAATACACTTACACTAAGCCCCCAGATTATGAAAGATAGACTACGTTAAAAACACCCGTAATCAGCTATATCATAAGCTCCGAGTACAGATAAATAAATAAGTAATAACCAATCATTTAATTACAGTTTTGAGTCGTGATTGCATGTTGAGCGTGTATTGTTGGATTTCTTTTATAATAATTTCTCTCGACAATGTCTACGGCCTCAACAAGTATATTACCAATTTTATTTTTGTTTATTTAGATTCTTTAATCAATAAATAAAATGCTCTGGTATCAATTAAAGTATGATTAAAAACACTTGGCAATTGTTTTATATTTTATAACTAATACACCTATGTTTACATATAAAGTTGGTTTGTGTACTCTTCAAAAACTTAAAAGTTATATTTAAATCGCGTCAGTTTTCATAATGTTCTACCGCCAAGTGGCAGGGTACAACTGTTTTTTATAAAATAATAATGTTTCTTTCCCTTGACCTAGTAATATGTCAACTCCATAAATAACTTTATAAACGGGTGTTTGACATATATCACAACAACACAACTAAAAGATTTAGATATCAAATACATCAGTACAGTTAGTCAAAACATATTAGTCACATATTTTATTATTTGCAGAAAGTATGTAATAAGAGAAGATATTTATAATGAAATGTGTGATACATGCAATAATAATTTATTGCACTGCTTATGTGATAAGTTGTAGGTACTTATTTTCTATGGATAATACCAGAGGTTTATTTTTTTACCCTATACCAACCCGCCTGGCCAGCGTGGTATAATAGGCCAAAACCTTATTTCTAAGGAGAGACCTATGTCCAGCAGTGGACTATTAAAGGCTGTTGATGTGATGTGATGTGATTTTTGAGATTAATAAGTCAAATATCCGTTTTTGGTTTTATTTTATTTTTGAAGTATTTGTGCCCGCATTTCGTTTGCGTAATAATTTGTTTTCTATTCTATCGCTTAGGTTTATTTTGGATGAAGCCTGTGATTACATAACAGATCGCTTGAATAATAGGTAGCCAAACTCACATTCGGACTATTATATTAATTAGAAATGTTGTCTATTTAAACGTGTCCAATCAATAACTCCAGGCTAAAAGTTGTTCCGTTTTTCTTTCTCGTTTTGTGGCTAAAAATGCTGGTCTAATTATGTGACAAACATGTCGGAATATGACTGTTTAACTTGTAATAGTCAATAAATTTATATTTGTTTGCATATTAACAGGTTGTTGGGCAGTATACTTAATAGTACATTTCGTGTAAAACGTGTCTGTACATGAAACACACTTGTGTGACGCTTTGAAAGTCATCATCAACATCTTCTTGCCCTCTTCGTAATGCTTTATAAGGTCGACGCAATGTGTACCGTTGGCAAAGGTCTTAACATATTTTTTTTTACACCCGATGCTAACCCTCCATGGGGATGTATGTAATCGTTTTCAGATGGGACAAAGGCAATCGGGGTAAGAAAAACGGGCTCATCCTACCCGTGGTTGGTTGGTATGGTACCCGTGGTGGTATGGGATACACTAAGTCCTACCACTCAATATAAGTTTTACATCGACGTATTACTAATGCTTTTATTTTGTTTTGCTTAACTAAAATGTTCATAGTAATCTACGTATACAAGCTGATGAATCATATTTTTTCCATAAGTTATGAATGAGTCTACTTTTGAAGTTGTACGATATTAAGATATTAAAGGTTATTCAAGTGCACCGCCTTTACACTCGTTGATTACTAGTAATGCGTGCTAGATAGCTCGTCCACCCTATCAGGTTCGTCATACATCGACTATCGCTGTCTCGAGTACTTTATTATCAAGCGATATTATTCTAAGTATTCTTTATGTATTAGTTGACATTTTTTTCCTCCTGAGTGACACAAAAAAATCTATAAAATGAAATGTAATTAAAGAGAAAAATTGAAGAAATAGTTTTTCTAAACATTCCCGCTAAAACATTTAATGTGTAAAACAAGAACCTAAATGTGATGAGATGCTCTCATCATATTTTAGGTTACGGAACTAACGGTTAACTAAGGGTTCTCTAGAAAGATAGTCTAGTTCAAGTAAAAAAAGTTGTGAAAAATATGATACCAAGTGACAGCGGTCCGCAGTCACGTGCAAGCGCGAGATTTTTAAATAAAAAAAATACCAATCGAATTCAGAACCTCCTCCTTTTTGAAGTCGGTTAATAACGTGGTTTAGGTTTTAAAATATTACAAAAGTTTGTGCGGCTTTAGAAGGTTGAAGGTTTGCGCTTGGGCTGTTTGATTTCAGAGAATCAGATATTCTTACTCTGTCAGTGCAAACTTTTTCTCCACCCCGAGTTTTGCCATCCTGTATCAAGTTAGGCGATGACGTCAGCTGTCACGTCACTGCCTTGATATCGTCACGATCTGATGTCAAGAGACTCGACGGGGCTCTCAGAATGATCTTCAACGACAAATATCAGGTACAATAGAACAGAAAAGATCTAATGCCTAATTCTTATCTTCTTGCATTTTTCTTAATTGCATTTGGTATTGCAATGTGTAAAATTAAGAAACGGATTTGGCTGGTTTTTCTATGGTGACCTGCCTGACGTCAACCCACCTTATGTAGAGAGTCTACTAAGACAGGAACACCATCTGATCCGACAGCAAAAAATACGATACATATTTCTTTTTATTTAATACGTAGAATACCATAAGCCATAGACAAAATAGCTGATCTGAATGACAATTGACATCGTATGTACCTAAATAACTACTTTTTGTTTTGTTTTAGTTGTTATTGGACTTAGAAAAGGAGGCAATGTTGTCACCGCCAAAAGCAACTGAGCATTCAAATGAGAAATCGGTTAGTTGATAATAGGGCAGTAGGTACATTACTACTAAAAGGTGATAATAATAATATAAAGATAAGTGATTACCGTCGCCCATTGACGCTTACTACTTAAGAAGCACAAGTGCCTTGTCGCTGTTTGAGTGACCTGTCCGCGCCAGCAATCATTGCTGCCATGCTGGCGGGTGAAGAGGGCTGGGGCGCAGTATTCTCTTTCTGTGAAGCTGTAATGCTCCAGAAAGAGACCGCTGACCGGGATCAGGAGAGGGTCGATCCCGAGCGAAGAAGACGTTGGCGGCGGTATGAGCCACCGATGGGACCGCAGGCCGTCGGAGAGTGCGGACCTCTGGTGGCAGATAGATTAAAGGTGGGATAGGGTCTAGTAGGTACGGCGTCGATCCGGGGGGACCAGAAATCACATGGCCCGAGCCTTCCCAAAGTAGGGCGTCTGAGGTTAACCGTTGGGTGATTTTAGTGGAAATACCACATATTCCTGGCTTCTGCATCCCCTAGGAGAGAGATTCGAAGGGAAATGCCACCCCGTCAACAAAAAAAAGGATTTTAATATAAAAGGAAAATTTACCGAGATTTGCCGTACGCAATGATAGGAAAGACATATTGCTTATACGAATCTAGTGATGAATGTAAGCAATAGCTCGACTAGGTCAGGGACAACTTGTAAAAATGTAAATACCAACTCTTCATATTAGTTATTAAACGCCTCAGTCACTTAAATATGTAATAAGTTTTTGTCACGTTACGCTGATGCTATTACAATATTGACAGGTGTTCTATAACAAAATAATAGAAAGTACACTACAATTATTTATCTTCTTTACTGTATTATCGAATCATCTAATTGCAATGTGGGTAGTTAGAAATGTATTGGGTGAAATGTCATCAACACAAATGTCACAACTGTTTACAGAAGAACGACCCGCGATTTTCTCATCCAGTGGAAGTAAGAAGACGTAAACATTCAGGTAATTTATCAATCAATTCATTTTAAATACAAATAACCTTCGTATAAAAAAGAATACTTATTTTGAAAAATAAACTTGTTTAATCGGATGTTGTGGTTTTGATTTTCGGATGATAATGGGTTTTATGGTTATTTCTGAGATGGTTTTTATAAGCCAGTTTGTACTTTAAATGCCTAATACAACATATTTTTATAAAATGGCTACATTTCACGCCTGCTACCGTTGATTGTACAAAAATAAGTACATACAGAGATTGTAATCAAACCATAATACTTATCTAATGCCTACCTCAACAGATGCCATTTAAGTTTTTATCCAATGTTTTTAAACATAATTGATATCAACCTGCCCTAGATTTGATAATAAAAAACAAACTTTTACAGGTTATATTGTAAAAACGCGTCAACCTCATTCGTGTATGTCACCGTCTACTGCATCTACAAGTTCTTTGGCACAGGTAAATTTCGTATAAATACATACCTATGTGGCTTTAGGTAGTTATACTATTTAATTATCATAAACAGGAAAAATTAATTACGTTCAATGACAGACAGAAAAAATTCTTAGTGTTCATTTTGTTAATAATTTAAACAGATGTATATAATTATTTTCACGTGTTTTAATATTTAGGTATTTTTGTTTGGTTTTAATTACATAGTTAATGTAGTAAAAATAGTACATCTAAATAAACTAGTTTATAGATTGACTAAATGCTGAAGATCCAATCCCAAGGCAATCCCATCGTAACGCATTCTACCTATTTCGACAAATAAGTACCTATATATTAATTATACCAAAGAACACAAGACATCACTATAGTTATCAACTAACCAATCGCTAACAAATATTTTGGGAGAATTCGCTGCTGCTATACTCTTATAATGGTATCATGATATCGCACTACTATAATAAAAAAAAATGCCCCCAGGTTTTCCAATATTTGCACTATGCGTAGCCAATTCTCTTTGACTAACGGAGAACATGCAACAGCTGAAAGTGGCTTTCTTGGAATAATGGGCACATACCCCAATCTACCATTAAAAAGTCAACTTTTTAATGGTAGATTGGGTTTTGTGCCCGTGATGATACAATCCATGAACAAAAGGGTTTTATATGTTATCAAAGCCAGAGGAGGCAATACTTCTTAGTAAAGAAAGATAGATTAGTAAAGAGAGATATAATCGAAACCATTCTAAATCAATGTGAACTTGTTGTAAATTTTTCTTTCTTTTTGATATTTTTAGTGTATCACTAAACAAATAAAGTTGGTTAATTTAAAAATGCGTTATTTCATTCAAGAATTGACACTTTTTTTTTATTGATTGTCAATAAAAAAAAATTTTTTTGAAATAGTCACAGACTTCATGTTGGGTAGGTAGCCTAATTTTACTGTCCACCATTTTAGTATATAATTGCATCTTTTTTAGCTTCATGAAAAACTAGCTGCCTTACCCCGATATAAATTCGAGAAGGAATCACTGGGCGTTTGTGCTCCTCCAGATTTATCTATAGTAACTGAAGTTAGTGAAGCAGACGCCCAAAGTATCACAACACTTAATCGTAAAGCATTCGGCGTCTGTGATAAAAATAATTATGCACTAGACTCTAGTAAGAAGTCTCAAAGTGATAGTGAAACTAGTAGAAAAAAACCAGAACTAAAGACTAAAGCGAAAGGCAGACTATTGTCTCCGATAGTTCGTGAAGAAACACCAAGCTGTTTGTTAGTGGCTACTATAGGGTCTGCTGACGACTCAGTTATAAATGATACAATTGAAAGATTATCCAAATCTAAAGATTATGATCCCGATAATATTGTTAATTTATTAGTCCAAGAAGCACTAAACGCTAAAAAAAAGGATCAAATTGACAGTGGTATCAATGCAAAGGAAAATACATCACAAGAGTTAAATGATAATATCGATGCAATTGATAATACGCCTAAAAAGAAAATTGATTTAATTGAGTCTGTGAAAAAATATCCCAAAGTGGTGTCACCGACATCTGACGAATCTAATACCGAAGCTATAAGTGATACTCCTAATGAGTATGTTAATACTCGCCGAAAGAAGAAAGATAACCCTAAAAGTAATTGTTTAGAAAAAAACTGTTTTGATGTACATGTAGTTGAAGAATTTTTTTCTCAACATTTTACAGGAAATAGAGAACAAGAAGTTATTATTAGTCCAACGCTCGCCAAAAAAATAAACGAAACTAGCTCTGAATTTAGCGATGGTCTTCTTGACGATGGACTTGTGTTAATGGGAGATGAATCACAAAATTTAGACCCGTTTAACATAAATAATATCGAAGTAATAGAATGTCTCAATAATATAGTGGATAAGGTATGCGATGAATTTAATAAATGCTCTGAGTATTTGAACAGAGATCAAGAAACAGTTGCTGGTGACATTTCTGATCTGGAAGATGATTTACCTTTAAAAGATATTCTATGTAAAATACAAAATGTTAACGCTGAGAATAAAATTGTGAATAAAGTACCTCAGAAACCTAAAAAAATTAAGTTAAAATATAAAGTCTCGTCTAAAAAAGAGAACATGAAAACTCGTACAATACGGAAAAACAAACTTGAAGTAGAAAATGCTGCTAAAATGTCTACTATCATGGAGGATAATGCAGAGACAGTTGTTGAATCTAACGTTTCTAGCGTTGTCCAAGAAAATATAGAAATTAACAATGAAAATGCACATCTTGATAATGCAGCTGACGTCGAAACACCAATGTTGCGTAGAAAACGTAAATTGTTTTCTCCTAAAGATGAAAAAATCACTGAAGAAGCACCTATGAACTCACAAGAAAATGATTTTATTAACTCCAAAATAAATAAAACCCCAAAATCTACCCTTTCGTATAAACCATACAAAGACATAGAACAAGAACGTCAAAGGTATATCCGAATGCCGCGAAATAGAAAATCTAAAAAAATTGAATCGCCTTCACCTCGAACAAAGAAAATGAACGAATTGTTTGAGAAAGTAAAAGAATCTTCTAACAGTGAACCAGTAAAACTAATCAATAGAGCGTCAGATGTATACAATTTCTCTACTGATAGTGAAGAAGAGTTTAAAGAAAAAAAGATAGCAATATCTAAAAAGAACAGTATTACTACTGTCGGCAGTGAAGAATGTACCGTGTTGAGACGTGGCCGCGTAGTCAAACGCACTAACTATGCAAGTAAAGATGAAGGTAAAAAACGAAAAGTTACCAGAAGACAAAGAACGAAGAAGATTGAAGTAGAACCTGTTAACGATTTGATCGATGAAAAAATGAGAGAACAAAAAGAAGTACTGGATACTTCTGTAGTCATTGAAATTCCTAGAATATTAGAGACTGCGCCATTATTAGTTTTAGAAAATCCTCCTCAAATGGAAGCTATTACGGATAAAGATGAAAAGACCAATATAAAACAACAAAAAACAAAAGGAACTAAAAAAACTAAATCTAAAACTATAAATTTGGTCAAAGGAGCTAAGAAAATTGTAAATATTAAACCTAATTCTGAAAATGATAGGACTGAAAGTCCTTTACCGGGACTGGTCGTAGAAGAGGCACGAACTCCGAAAACTAAAGGAGACGGAGACTTATCAGCTAATATGGTAGATAAATTCAAGAAAATTTGTCAAAATCCTGAAAAGTACATAAACGAATCCAATAATACCCAAATCCTACTTTCGGATAACGACAAAAATATCAACAGTCCGCAGAATTTTAATGTAACTGACGAATTTCTAGAACTTGAGTTACAAACTAAAGATGAATTGAGACGGAATCGTAAAGACCCCAAAACTGAGAAACCAAGTACTGTAAAGCCTAAAAGAAAAGCGAAAGAAAAGAACATTGAAAAGGATACCAGTAAAAAGTGTACTATCAGAACTTTAAGCTTACCTGGATCTGAAACGAAATCTGATCAATCTATTTCTACTGTCGGCATAACTGGACATGGTGATTCCGAAGAAGCCCCGCCAAGTCCCAAGTTAATTGTAGAACGATTGGAGCACCGCAATTTAGAATCGGAGTACTTGGATCGTTCTATAAAAAAATATTTCGACAAATTGACAGAAGAAATTAACAATATAAATAGCTCAACGCACGATAATTCTAATGACAAGAATAAAACGACTGTTACAAACAAGTCTGACAAATTAAATAAGGAAGATATAAAAAAGAAGAGTAGCTGTAGTCCGCAATCCTTAAAATCTCCTGTAGTGTCTATAGAAAGAATGTCTTTAGAAGATATAAGCAGATGGTTACCTTCCAGAAGAAATTCAGAATCGGATACTGACTCTTCCATTAGCAGAAAGTCAAAAACTTTACTCAAAAACAGTATAAGCTCTAACATAGTCGAATCCAAACATGACACTGATTCTGAAAATTATCCAGAAATTCAAGAGACTGCCAAAAAGCCTTTAATTAAAGAAAATTCACCTGTGGTTAAAGTAAACCATACCGGAGAACATAGTAAGTCTCTTCTTCAGAATAATGATTGTAGCAAATCTACACAAAGTAAAAAAATATGTGTAATACGAAACAAAAATGATCCGAAGTTGAGAGTAGTACTTCCAAGACGTGTTAAAAACACACCAAAATCGTGTATTTCTCCAATAAAACTGTTCGAAGATTGCGACAAGAACGTTGACAAACTCTCTCAATCTACTTTGTCAGATGATCAAGACTACATAAACGGAATAAAGGACACTTTTTGTAACATTGTACGACGTAGAAAAATTCAGTCTCAAAGCTCAAAAGCTGAAGAGTCTATAAAAGAATTAAGCCATGCGAAAGAAAATGAAATTGAATTTTTACGTATAACTCCACAAATAAACTTAACACAAAACACAGATTCAGAGTCTATTCTGGACAAAATGAGCACGTCCACAAAAATAGCAGATTGTAAAGCGCTGAAAAGAAAGTTAGAAGAAAATAGGAATGATAGTAAAAAGAAGAAAGTAGAGGACAATAATAATATGGGAGACTTCATTTCTGCAAGTGGAAATACGGAGTCTAGTGTAGATGAGTGGTTTAAGAGAAACGAGCCGAGTAGCAGTAGAGGTAAGTCATTGAAACTGTCACTTCATTTTGTTTGCTTAAGAAATATTGGTGATGATATAGTTTAATAAATCAGTGGAAGAATTAAAAATATCAGAAAAAGAAAAAGCATTTAAATCATGAGGGATTGATCAAGATAGGACTATTTTTTTGTTCTTCTTTTATTACAAGACAACCTAGTGGTTAGTTACGCTGACTGCGAAGTCAGATGTGGTGGGACTCCGTCCCAAGACAAATTTTAATAATTGTATGATGATCATGATTATGTTTCGTATCTGGGTGTTATTTAATTATAATATGTATGTATTTACCAGCAGTGTGTGTGAGTTGTCTTAAGTTATAAATACATTTATAAGTACTATTTTATTGTTCGAGCAAAGCCCATGATTTCGCTTCAACTTAAAAATTGTAGCATACAATTATCTATTGCATATTATCCATATCCTAGATTTTTTTGTTTACGTCCTAAACACTGGATTCTTACATATGATTATTCGGAACTTCACAAAGTTAAGAATATGCATTAATTTAGTGAAGAACACAGAGTCAGTAAAAAAAATAATGTTAAAATGACCTCTATTTACTAGCACATGGCATTTATTAAGAGCTTTCCCACTATCTACTAATCATACAAAACTTTTGCTCAATAGAGTGTATAATATTTGCAGGAGAAGCGTTGAATATATCGGTTAGAGATAGTTTACATAATGTTATGGAGAAATTGGATACAACGCTGATTGAGATTCATCAGAACACTAGTAAGAAGTAAGTATTTCGCAAATTAATTAAAATATATGCAATGTATGTAATTGAAGTATTGGTAATACACCGAAGACCGCCTTTTTAGTATAAATTAATCTAGGTATTGCTTCATATATTACTTTTTGACTGGTTTATTGTCTCGTGATTAGTGATTCTTGGTACTAAGCCGGAGGTCCTGGGTTCGATTCTCACGCAGACCAAATAATAGTGTGATGAGCACAATAATTTGTTCCGTATCTGGGCGTAATTTATCTATAACAATTTAGAAATAATGTAAAGTAAGTATGTTAATCAGGAGTCTGGTTACCATAAATTAGACTTTGCCTAATTTGGGATTAGATGGCCCTGTGTTAGATGTGGTAAGTTATTGTTTATGGTATCCTATTAAAAAATAAAACGTAAAGCAATACGTGTGTGTATGTTTGTGTAATATTCTAATGAACGAATGCAGATTCGTACACCTATTCGTGTCGGCCCAGCAACAGTTGTGCGAGCTGAAGGAGGAACGACACAAAATGTACAAGCGCGTCGCGGCCGACTTGCTAGCCAGCGTGGTGCAGCTCATGGACGATAAGTTCTGTGATTTGGATAAAATGTAAGTCATTCATTTATTTCACACCTTTAAAATCACCGTTTCGCTTCTGTGACGTAGCGAAATGTTAAAAAGCCCGTAAACTTCGTCAAGAATTATCAAGGGCTCCTCAAGAATTAGGGTTATTAAGTGCACAGCGCAAATCCAGTCGCAGTTACAGAGATATGCGCGTTCATTTAACCAAAAGCAGTACCTATTCAGCATAGTTAAAATGGATATAGCATCAGTTTAAAAAAAAGAATAATAATAATATCTTGGTTACATATTGTATATAATTTACATCTTATTGTCATTATATTATGCCTTATATAACTAACGATAACATAAAACTGGTGTAAAACCATACTTAAATGTGCAAGAGGAAATAGAAAAAAGTGAAATAAAATATTACATATTCTTTTTGCACGCGGTTTGAGCTAGGTGCAAATGTGTTTCTGGCAGTGGCTTGACTATCATGTTAGAAACAGGGAGCGTTAAATATTTTAAAGTTCCAATAGATTGTAACTATGTAAATTAGGTACCTACTTAAGACTAGTTTGTATACGCAAATATGTTACTTATTGTTCAATAACTTAAGTGTAGTTAAAATTATAGTTTAACTAGCTTCGCCCTCGTGAACTTTGTGCAAATCCTATCAGTATAGATGGCGGCCACCTATTTACCAAATATTGACTTATTAGGTTTTTTTCTGGAGATAAGATATTTTGCCGCTGTAAAAAGTAGCCTATGTGTTATTCTAGGTCATATTCTATTTGTGTACTAAATCTCATTCAAATCTGCCGAGGCGTTTTAGCGTGAAGAAGTAACAAACATACACATAAACACACAAACTTTCGTATTTACAATATTAGTGAGTTTAGTCCGTAACTAAATAAAATATAACCTTTCCGAAGTCGAGTAAAAAAAAGTAAATGTGTTCATAATTAAAGTTCTGCTTAATGAATTGACAATGATGTAAAGACAAAAAATTATCTACTTGAAATTATCTCGATGATGAAATACTTTAATTTCAAAAGAATTCGTATAATCACACGAAAAAATGCATCTAAAATATGTGGTGGATATTTAATAATTTAAATTTTTTTATAGCTTAGCTGTTATAGATAGATATCGAACCCCCTCGAAAACAAAGGATTTTTTTGAGACGAGTTTTTACACCTTGGTTGGTTAACATAACCTGTTTTTTTTTGCACATGTCTAAGTTTTTTAGAAATAATTTATAGCCTATATTACTTCCTCATTCCTGATAATGTAACTTTCTATTAGTGAAAAAATTGGTTAAAATCGGTCCAGTAGTTTTAGAGCTTATTCGATACAAACAAAAAATTTTTCCTCTTTATAATGTTAGTATCGATTAGAAGCCAATATTGACTTTTTAAATACGGTATGAAGGTGTTGAATACTCTAGTGGTAAGCGGTTACCAATGTCAGTCACGCCTACTGTGTATTCGCAACACAGTAGGCGTGACTGACTTGTGATCGACCCTATGCCCTTTTCATTAGTTATTAGACACGATACGCTGATAAACAAAGGTCTACAAAAATATTTTATATATTATATATATTTTACAGAACAAATTTCAACCGCCAGAACGTCATTTATTCTTCGAGCTATACACTTTCGGATCCATTTAGTTCCTAAGGCTTGCGGTATCTCTTATCCTAGCTTCGTCGTTTATTGTTTATTTGTCGCTATCCCAATTTACTGTCTTCCTTTGTCCCGTCTGAAAACGATAACATTTTAAAGAAGAAGATGTCAATGCAATGTTAAACGTTTTACCAATTCAAAATAAAATTGGAAATAGGGCAGAAAGCGGACGAAACAAAACAACACAATAATTTTTGATCCTGAATAATAATAAATGCATCTAGCCACATATACAACGTCGTCGTTGCAATTAGGATATAAAATTCTTCCCTGACATAAAAGTTCTTTAATAGTCCACTGCTGGACATAAGCCTCTCCTTAGAACGGAGGTTTTGGCCTACTATACCCCGCTGGCCAGACGTGTTGGTATAGGATTATATGTTAAGTTTTCCTTACCTTTGCAGTGTTGTTGTCGCTCCCTTAGTCGACTCTTACGAAACCCACGGGATGAATAGGGGTGACACTCAGTATTCATAATCCGTCACCACACTTTCTTTTAAAAATTCTACCCTAATAGTCTTTTAATTTAACCAGGTCTCAAGAACAAGACATGAATTTCATGAAGCAATTGAAAGAGCAAACTTCGGGGGTGATCCGTGAGGACTGCAAACAAAAGCGGGTCATGGTACAGCTGCTGAAGGAAGATGTGCAAGCCGTCCTCGAGCACATGAAAAGGAGCACTGATTAGTGCCCCATAGACCACAGTAACTTAACGATAATAATTAAGCTATAAAGTTACTTTAAACCATTGTTACTTAAGCCACCAGCTACGATCCACCGTGTTCTATTTATTCCTCGTTGCTTACCTTCAGCGGTTCATACAATTTTTTAATGAAACCGGATTTTCTTTAATTTTTTCAAATGTTCTCACCAGAATCTTTAAGCCAAAACGTATTTCTTGGTCCTGTGCCAGGCCTGCTTCGCACTTTGGGTATGAAGCTACAAGTACAAGACTCGAAACTGTCGAACCCACCAATGTGCTTGTGCAGCTGCAGAATTGATCCTAAATTGATTGTCGTGATGGCAATTTAGTTCGAGACTCGCATGCGACGCGTCGCCGTATCAAGGCTATTGTGAGTTAGTCCCCAGCTTTATGCAAATTAATTATTCCTAATAAGAGAACCATAACATCGGCAGAAGACATGATAAGTTATAGGTGAATATAATAAGCACTAGCAAGTATTTCATTAAACTCTAGTCCGTTCGCGTTAAGAAAATAGCGACGGATCGACCAAGCCCCGCACCCTGATCAATCAGGTTCTAAGGTTTCTTTGGGAACGATTATTTTTGTAACACTAGGTTTCGTTTTGGTTCTCATTTTCAGTATCCAAAATATTTATTACAAGTTGAAATAATTCTATTTTATCATTGCAGAGAGCATCCCTTCAAGATGTTTCTATACTATGTAATTATATTATTGGCAATAGATTAAATAGATATTTTAAGTCCTAGTGTAGGATAAGATTGGTGAAACAGAAAGTATTAGTGAATAGACCATAAGAGCTGGTGGTTAAAATGTGACTAGTATAAGTGTTGAGACTGTTCACGATTGAGGCAGCAGATCATCCGATGTTCGTATACCCGTTTAGCGGTATATATCAACAACAGTGGTTTCACAAGTTGATATTTTCTATATTTACTTATGTATGTCGAAGAAATACTACAACTTGCGTAGTTAATGTATTCTCTATCATATTTTTGTTAATTATATGTTTCATTCTATTCAGTGTATAGAATGCCTGATACTGTTAATTTTATTTTTCTATTTATTTGTAAGCAACTTATATCAGATAAGGAATGTTATGTTTTCAGTTGTAAATTTTCTAATAAAACTAAAATTATTAATTTGTCAGTTTATTTAATAACTTAAGTACATACACTCTTACATAACAAACAACGCTAACGCTACGCTTCTACTATACAAAACCGTCATGTCCCTTTTACCAAATGACAGAAAGCATCAATATAATGTAAATACAGAAAATAAAATTTCTGACATCACAAAGTTCACAAATCAGAGCTCCTAACCAAAATAAACTAAGAGCTTTTTAATCTAAGTCAGTTATTTCTTATGTATTAGGAATAGATGCAATGTATTTGGGTTGTAAAATGATAGTTACAATTTTGAACTTGGCAATGGAATTTGAAATTAGTTGCAACAAACTTGTAGTTTTTATTTATTAATAGTTAAATAAGTATGTGTTATAATGATTATCTTGCTACATGCTGTGTTTTTTTGAGTGATAGTTGGCAAACCAACATAAATACAAGAAAAAGGCATTAAAGTACAGCATTTTTTAGTTACATGTCATTTACTTAGTTATATTACACATATACCTATATAGTGTGGTCCAGCACATGTGGGTATAAAAAAAATTTGATACATTCGATTAAACATAGTTATTAGTGTGACGATGAATAATAATTAATGTTCATTTCAATTTTACATTATAATGTACCTCTGTCCCGTAGTTTATCACTTTAAGCCTCACTTACATTAAAGACAATGCTGCACAGCTATTATTGGTTTACTCTTACATCAATTTTGGAATTAAATCTAATGTCGACAATCAACATAATCTTCCCCAAATTAAACCCAAATGTCCTATATTATACATGAAGTCTCGTAAAAATTTCAGTAATAAATTTCAAGTCCTTTTTTAATCCCTGCACCAGTATTTAGTTTGTATCACCCGCCATAACGGCCAGCCGCAAGGAGGCTGCGTCCGCGTGTGCCGGACCGGACCGTGTGCCTAAATAGAGAATGTACCCGAAGATGATGCCCGCGCCGTGGCGGGCTGGCGCTAGGAGGGGTCCGGATGTCTTAATAACAGCTGTTCCCAGATCCCTCCTGTTACAGGCGCAGAGTGGCACACCGTGTGGTTAATTACTTAATATTTGATCCTTAGGGCTGGTTATTTTTTTTAATTTGAATGCGATCGAACGGAAAGTATATCCCAAATATAAAATAATTTTCCAAATCACTTATTATAAACAATAGTTTTGAGACACCAAACAAAAAAAAAACCATTTCAGAACTTCCTTTTTTTAGATTAGTTAACAAATATGTAGATAGATTTTTTTTACTTTGGAAGGTATGTTCAACTATAACCCAAAACAGAGGTAAAAAAAACCTGACAGCTACCTCGCATAATCGCCGTGACATCACAAATTGTAAAAATTAATTCGAAAAATTGAATCTAAAAATCTTCTTTCCAAAATTTCGTTGACACATTCCACGCACTAGGTACTACCCAAATTACACTGTCACGTCATGTTCGCACTTTATCACCGAGACTGCGTATCTCGTCTGCAGTATCCTCGCACTAGGACTCTTCCTGTGAGCTTGCCACTTGCGCTAAGAACACTTGTTGTTGAGGCTGGTGCTGTTGGGATGATACCTGGAATAAAAAGTTGACAATGATTCAGTAAAGCTATTGTTTATAGTATAGAGACTAAATGAGTACCCAAAGTTAAGTGACTACCGCCGCCCATAGAGGTCTGCCACTCAAGACAAATGCATTGCCACCCCTTAGGTGTCCAAGAGTTAGTGAAGGTGAGGTGAGGTGAGAGGTGGGGGTATGGGTGAAGTTTGGTCCCTCTTGTTACTCACACGATGTAAAACAATGAAATAATTACTTATTAATTACTGAATTAGTTTTCTGTAAGGCCGTGACTAGCAAAGTTTAAGAAAAATAAATTGATCACAGGAACTTTTTGTTGCCAATATGTTTGTATAAGTAAACGTTTAAATGTAGGTAAATAAAAACCTGTATAATTTGGGACTGCTGCGGCTGTGTTTGTATTATTATAGGCTGGTTCGGGTTGTTCTGTACTTGCATACGGATCATGTTCAGTTGCGCCTGAGTTAGTTGGATCTGAAACACAAAAACTGAAACTAAAAAAATGCACAATCGAGAAATATGTGCGGACTTTTCGCAGTCTGCGATTTCTTACATGCTATACAAGTAGCAAGGACTATACTGTAAGTCATGTACAAAATAATAAACAAAAATATACATTTGGTATTGATAACTAAGTTGTAAAACAAAACATTTATATACATTTATACACATTAACACAGAAGAATCTTTAGTAAAATTTATGAGAAACCCGCGTTTTAGTTTAGTTACACATGGTACAAAAATATTGAGTAATTGGCATCACAAAGTTGTCTCAAGAACTCGCAATTTGTAGACACACTGCAGTTGGTAGGCGCGCAAGTGTCAATGACCTCTTCATCGGTATCGCATGCTTCGTTACATTTCATTGATAAATAAAGTAGGTACCTAACATAATATCCAAATACTAAAACTTCACTTAATTAAAGGGCACGTTTGAAATATATACAATAATTAATAAAAAAGCAATTAGAGGTTAACTTACCACTACTGTTTTACATGTATCTATACATCTATACAAATAGATAAAATTGGAGTGTCTGTTTGTAATATTAAAATAACCGCTTTTTACTAAATGCATATGTATGTTTACACGGTACATATTATTATGCCAAAATAACATTTACAATTTTTGTCTGTCTGTCTGTCCGTCTGTTTGTTCCGGGTAATCTCTGGAACGGCTGGACCGATTTCGACGGGACTTTCACTGGCAGATAGCTGATGATATAAGGAGTAACTTAGGCTACTTTTTTTAGACTAGCTTCGCCCCGCGACGTTGCCCGAGGTTATAACAACAAACGCGGGTAACAAAGCGGGTCTCAGCTAGTATTTTAATAAATTTTCAAAATGTAGTCTTCTAAATATCTAGATTCAAAATGTATTCTAGATCTTGTCTAACGACGTGTGGGTTGTGATATGACCACCAATATTCGTCATGTTGGTTGTACAAAATATTGGCAGCGGGGTGTGCGATAAGCCACTCACAGAATTGTCGACGAGGTAAGGCGTCTGTTTCTTGTAAGTCTTGGACTTACTTTGATAATGGTAGGGGTGCAAGCCAGCGGTGTTTATCAGCTTCCATACTGCGTATATTGGCTTACACGGAAGCGATTAGAAAACATTGTTTGCACTGTTGGCGTTGCGGAAGAACGAGTGGTGCCAACCGGAGGATGCACCGATGCGACAAGACGCCGCCAACTAACCTATTAATTATATAATTGTTGGATTTGTACCGGCCAGCGACCGGGTTTCGCACACGCCTCATCCCGCCACACCGCGTCCCCCGATGCATTCTTTCTCTCACTGTTTACGTTTTGTATGTGTTTTGAATCAGTGACCACGCTGCTAAATATTTTCTTCGGGATGAAAATTTTTTTATGTAGAAAATTTGACCTACCATTTTTTTTGCAAAAATAGGGTTCTTAAATAAAGTCGTGCCTAAAAAAAAAAATTTGGACGGCAATTTCGATTTCACCAAAAAATGAGAGAAAGGAACCAAAAACATAAACACTGCAGCTGCAGCTGCGCTATGCAGCAGAAGCACAATTGAAGACAATAACACTTACTCTACAAACTTACTTACTAAAAAACTAAATATAATAATATAATATATCTCACATACTCACACACGGCCGTCTGATCCCAAACTAGGCAGAGCCTGTACTATGGTAACCAGACAGCTGATAAACATACTTATATATTTCTAAATACATACATATTATAGATAAATGGTATAAAAATGTATTAAAATAAAAATAAAAAATCGGTCTAGTTATTACGTTCAAAGTTAACTTGTCTTTTCTTTTTATGTAATAACTTAATGTTTTGTTAATAAATGAGGAAATGAAAAATTAAAATAAATTATTACAACACCAGGATCTAAATATACTCTATATGACTATTGGTTCAGTATCACGGTTCTTACCGGCAGCTGCTGTAGTTCCCCGGATGGCGTGACGACTTGTTGCATCAATGTCACAGGTTGTTGTGACACCGCCACGTTGTTCGACGACGATGCCGTTCCAGGTGACGTCTGTAATTAATATCATTTATTTAAATTCTTACATTATTTATTGTATATGGTGGTACTTCTAAACATGGCTCTTATTACTAGACAATCAAGCTTCAAATTATTAGTAAATAATATTAGCTTTACAGATATTTTACGATATGTCCTAGTAATAACATCTAGATAGATTGTACAACTAAACAAATAAGTAGAACCGCATTTCACTGGTGCCCAACCTCGTGGCTGTGCCTGTGGGTCACACATACATACCTACTTGCCCCGTTATGTCGATAACGTTGACATGAGACAGTGAAATGTTAAAAAGGACAACCCCAGTAGATATATAATATTGCATTTTTAACTATCATAAAAGGAACTTAAACTTTCAGTTTTATGTCATGTAAAGGAAGTATTTATAGTCCATTCGCGTTAAGAAAGTAGTGGCGCAACCGATCAACCCCCGTATCCTGACCAATTAGGTTCCAAGGTTTCGTACGAAACGATCATTTCATGGAACTTGATTGGACTGTCACTATTTTCTTAACGCGAATGGACTCTAGTTTATGACAAACAATAAGCAACACCTGGTTACTATGTTAATTTATACTCAAACTACTTTTCACTCAAACCTGTATCCCCGAAGAGGTAAGCAGGGAAAGACGGGTAATTAGGAGTGTGAATGTATGAAATGATAATTGGAGCGTAAGCAATAAATTGAGAAACTCACTGTCGCGTGCCTGTAATTTGGACTAGCTATTACTGGGAATTCCGAGACCTCTTATCTAATATAGAGTTGGTATAAAGCTAGGCGTGAACTATGTCGATTTTGAAAAAAAAAAACGCAAACAGAGTTATTGACCGTGCGATAAATGCCTTGTTATAATAATTATAATTGACTGCCTCGGTGGTGTAGTGGTAGCGTACGCAACTGCTGTGCTGAGGTCTCTGGTAGGATTCCCGGGTCGGACCAAATGTCTGTATGATCTGCAAATATTTGTTTCGAAGTTTGGGTGTTTTCTATGTATAATATGTATATGGACGTAGTTGGTTACAAATTGATGAAATCAGTATGAGATTTAGAAAACGACCAAGACGTCGTTATGAGGATGACATAAAAATAATTGATGGAACCTGGAAACCGTTGGAGGATACCTACACCCATGTTACTGTTAATATGTGTTAGCGTATTTTACATTTTTTATTAAGGGATTATTAGACTTTATTATTAGTATCTAGTAGGGTTGTGGAGTGAAGATGGCAGTGGGTGGTACCTGTACGACCTGCGCGCAAGGCTGTACGATGACCTGCGACTGCGCGGCGCCCTGCAGCGCCGCCGCGTGCTGCGCCGACAGCTGCCGGGGGCGAGCGCGTCAGTCTCGTCACGACACTCCGACACGACACTCACTAACAGGGTACTTGAAATACTGCCTTTTTTAACACACTGTGCTCATATTTTTATTCATTTATAACATTAAAAATAACTTTGTATGATTTCCTGTTATAAAAAGTTATATTTTCAACTACCCTATTACGTGAGTGTAATATATACAGAGACAACAGCTTTACAAAAATATAATTTTACACAATGATATGAGTGCCTGTATCCTAAATTAGCATACCGAAATATTTAAAGGCTCAAATTTTTTAAATGAAATTATAAATTGCAAAAAAATTGACAAAAATAGAATAGGTTGAAAAGATTCCTAATAATGTGTGACCCACACCTAATTAAATACCTTGATTGTATTTCTTTTTTTATTCAACCTGGCTTACATCAGATCTTTATAAAAAAATTGAAAATTGTATGAAATTATTTATTAAATCTTGTTACGATTCAAAAAAACATGGCAACACTAATACAATCAAAGTTACGAATTATTATTTTGGTTTCGCTTAAAATTAGTCGCGAATTATTTGAAAGAGGAAGGGCCGAGAAAAACTTTAAATGTATTATAGGTATGCAGATATACCCATAGTTACTATGGGTATATCTGCATACTACTATAGCATAGTACATAAGAATATGACAGTGTGACACGGTTCAGTAATTCATTTTACTAGGCATGACTTTCTAGATATAACTCACCTGTTCTGCAGGAGGGCTGCTCCTGGGTGCCTCATATCGTGGCTTGTTGACCGGCTGTGGCTTCACTTCATGCCGGGGTACGATGTCGATCAGGAAATCAAACTGATCGCATTTTGATATAGCCATTGCTATATCGTTACGCTAAAATTTCAAATGAAATCAGATAACTGACATTTAAAACTAACTTTTTTTACGATTAATTAATATTATCATTCTTTATTGGCCGGTTTCTTTTATTACTAGCCTCCTGTCTCACGCTATGCCTTCTTGGCAATATGACCATTTTCAGACGGGACAAACGAAGAAAATTAGGGTAAGAAAAGCGGATTGATGTGAGAGCTAGGCTGGGTAATGGTAATGAAAACGACATCAGAAGTTGAACATGTCGGGATCGCATACCCATATGTCCCCTAGTCCCCTGTAAGGTCCCTAGTACAAGAATATCAATTGAAAGTAACAGAAATCAATTTAAATACAAAAACTCGTACAGAAACACAGTTTCATTAGAAATCTTGGAAAGAATTCAATTATGCAAAGAATTAAAATGTGCCGAAAGCATATCGTAATTGGAGATCGTGAGATTTATTTGTTGGGAACCAAAATAGATGTGAGGGAAGCAAAAGATGCACTCGACATTACAATTAGACAATTTCTTGACAACACAAAGGACTTTCATACCGTGTATACGAAATCTCATATGGAAGATAGTCGTGATATGATTCTTACCTGCAAAGTCCTCCTCTTATTATCTTCTGTGTGCGACCAGGCTCTGAGCGTGAGCTCGTGTATAAAGATTTCAGCCGCCTTTGCGAAAAGTACAGGTGCTTCTGCCGATATCATTTTCACTTCCTCGTCCAGTTTCATTATTTTCTTTATGCGGGCTAACGGGAGTGCTTGGGATTTGAAGTCTTCCTGGAAATGACAAAAATTTCTTATAAGAAGGCACAATGTAAAATCTCGCTTCTCTTACTTCTTACTTACTTTACTCTTTAGAAGACTGTGGCCAAGTAGCTCTACTACGAAGAGTTATTACTATCGATGGGACCAGAACTGAAAGGTGGGATGAAAAGGGTTAGGTCTTGGGAGATTTGTCAACACGCTAATAAGGCGCTTTCATTGTTTTAGCTCTTAATAAGTAAGTCATCCGCACCCCCACCAACGCCTGCCTGTCACAGTGCTAGTACTACCTTCAGGTAAAACTCTCATTTCAGCGACTTTCAGGCAAACGCGGACGGCCACTATGGTGGGTGGAGAGGAAACCCAATCTATTAAGGAATAATTCTATTTAAGGAGCTTCACTCGGTGATCATTTATAGCTTCTGATATGTTTAGAAATTCTGCAAGAGTCGGCCTATCTACTATCGCAGGAACCTTCACAAGTAGGAAAATTTAAGATACGAGACCTATTTTATAACTTACAGAATTAACTTTCTTTATATCTTCAGTGACTTTGTTCCAAAACTGCTGAAGGGTCTGATGCGAAGTCTCCGCAGTGGAATGTTCTTCGCCTACCACGTCGCCGTCTACTTCACATGCCTCTGCTACAGTCGATGGACCAGCTTGATCACTGTTGAAGAAAAAATAATAATAGAACTAAAGAGAAGAAAGTGTTTCTCATTTTTTATAGAATATTTTATATAAAATACCACAGCCTCACAGAAAACTGATGTTTGAAGCATTGTTCAATTGACTACTACGGTCAGGAAATCGAAACTTAATACGTTTGTCTTGAATACTCTGTATGAACAGGATTTTTGTCTGATAATACCGAATGACGAAGTGCAGTGTTGGGAGAGTGGGAGAGGAGAATGTTGAATACAGTTTTAAAGAGGTTCACTACGGTGCCATTTTGGCCTGTTGGTCTAGTTTTTAGTGACCCTGACTGCTGAGCCGGAGGTCGTGGGTTCGATTCCCACCTAAGACAAATATTGTGTGATAAGCACGGTCATTTGTTCTGTGTCTGGGTGTAATTTACCTATAATATGTATGTATTTAAAAATATATAAGTATGTTTATTAGCAGTTTGGGATCAGACGGCCGCGTGTGAGATGTGTAAGATAATAAAAAAAATCTTGATGATGATTCTAAAATTATTAAATTTCATACTCGTTTCGTTTAAATTTTATAAAAAAATATAATTTGTAACACTATTTCATGGCGCATATTATTCCAGAGATTAGGCGGCATCCTTAAAACATTCGTTCGTAGTAAAGTAAGTAAATTTTATACGGACTCTAAAATCGAGATACAATATCGATTTTCCTAATTGCGAGATGTTTAAATACCTAATTTAACTCAAAAAGCGCTGTGTTTATACTCATATATATATGATATATATATATATATTAATATATATAAAACAAAAAATCGATCGGCAGACTAAATTATTTCAAGATTTAGTAAAATCTTAACATCATTTCTGATATGGTGTGTATAAATATTTCTGTAGAAATTCAACTAAATACTCTGTTACGTTTGTGAGTCTGTGGCATGATAGGAGATAACATTTTGTAATTACAAGTAGCCAATAACAACCGGCTTAAATATTAATATTTTATTTAGAATAATTTATAAGTTATATATTATTAAATAACATTAGTTCTAGTCAACTAAATGACTAAAACTTACATTAAAGAAATAAAATACGCGACAAATATTATGTTAATATTATCGCTAGAGGAACTTACGCAGGCACAAAGAAACACACGGACATCTTGTGAGAGAAACCAACGACACGCTGACCTAGAGTTTTCTACAAATCACACTTTCTTTCCAATGAAATAAATTGTTGTAAATCACTGTTAGAAAATTAGTAACCGCTGCCAAAGTTAATAAAAACACAGTAACCAATAATCTGTGTAATATTTGGAGATCTCCAATCAACAATTACTTAAAATGCGCCAGACACACGATTCGTCCACTGATGACCAGTCACAAGCTTGACGTTTGTTTGTGTTACCATAATTACTTGACACAAGCAAATTTTTTTTGAAAACATCTATCTAAAGCTTACATGATTTATAAACCAATTAAAACTAATGTTTCTACGCATGTTATAAAACCAAAAAAATATATAAATATAAATTAATTTATTCTTTCCAAATAAACAACATGAAAATAGTGTTTGAATACTATTTGGTAGCCTCAGAGAGAATTTAATGGCAAATCTAACCGGAAACCAATGAAACGTCAGTTGGTAGTTGATTTGATGTCGCTGACGTCACCAAAGCAGCGTCTGCTACTAAAATGGCGGCGGCCGAGATTCAGATAGTAAATCCTTCTAATTTAACTAAAATCGAAAGGTAAATGAAATATTATAATTTATAGTGATGTAATTTTGTATAGTGTTATAAGATATATAATATTAATAACTTGCTGTGAAACGTAAAGTGTATTGGATGTACTGTGTCGGTGTTAAACTTGCTTTGGTATGTTTCAGTTTTCTCAATGATCCGAGCTACAAAGAAATTATTGAGAACTCCTCGACATTTAATTCGCGACTATGTGCCGAAAGAAGGATGCGTATGCCGTTTATCGACACGCAAACTGGTAAAATACTGATTTATTAGTTCACACACGGAATGCTACGCCCATGGTAGCGTATTATTGATTTTGTAAACACTAATAGTTTTATGTCACAACACAACAAAACTATGTTGCCGGTAGACTATTTTATATTTTTCGAGCATAATATTTTGTCTAATTGGAACAGTTCCTATATCTGCTTAGATGTTTTTTTTTCACTTAAAACTAATACTAATTGATACCAAACCATCATGCTAATGTACTATAGACTATCTGGTCTCAAAGTTTCTTTTATATGAATTTAAGCCTCCATTTAAAAAAAAGATTTTCATTTTATTTATCTGCTAACAACTTTTAGCAATTGTTTTCTGGTACATTGCTTGAGAATGTATCTGTGCTAGAGTGCTTTAAATTTTACTTGAAAACATCTAGTAAGAAATGCATATTAGGTACTGTAAATACAGTTTCGCAGAGTAAATGATAATTATATTAACATAATAAAATAATGTACATAGCGATGAACAGCTTTTACTTGATCAATTTTAAATATCTTAATCCCGTTAACTGATAGCTTGTTCATAATTGGGATTAATTGTGAAACTGTCTTCGTAAACACAGTGCATAGAACATTTAATGTCTTTGTATTGGCTTTTTTTTGTAGGTGTTGCACAGAGCCACTGTAATTTATTCATGACAAGAAGGCAGCGCATGCCTGGCCAAAGAGAGGGACAAGTGTACACATATCCAGCACAGAGGTTTGTATTAACAAAAAGATTTTCCTGATATTTATTATTGGCTTCCCCAACAGACTTCATTCTGCCTGCCGCAGTACAATAAAAATAATAATTAATATCCATAAAGCCAAATACGCAGGAGAACAGCACTGCAAAGAGAAGGAAAACTTGAAACCAACCCGTCTGGCCAGCATGGTATAGTAGGCCACAACCTCTTTTCTAAGGAGAGGCCTATATCCAGCAGTGGACTATTAAAGGCTGTTGATGATGATGATGAATATCCATACACCCTAATCAACTTAAAGACGTAGTAGAGATAATCCTATTAGAGCTTTGTTTTATTTTGATTAGCATCAAATGTTTGACAGCTAGGGACAGGTGTTTTAATTTACTATGTGGTTTGTAGGACAAAAAGTAGTTTTACTGTATTCCTCACAATTCATACTTTTTTCTATCCATAAGAACTTTCCTTAAGCCTAACTAAAAAGATATAAAAAAAGTTATCCCAATTGGTTGAGCTGTTCTCGAGTTTTGCACTTAGCAAATTTTATTATATCGTTATTAGTATGGTAGTTATTGTTTCAACCAGGTTATTGTACTAGCTGTTGTTGCAGCAACCATTGCTATCTAGTCAAAACATTAGTCAATTCGAAGCTATATCATATCCTGGTATTGGTCTCCGGTTTCTGCATTTAGTCTGAAGAACATTCCTTTCAGCGTAGTGGTAAGGTTAGCTAGGTGAGCCAACCCAGCTCCTTTTAGGAACTTAATGGGACGTTCACAGCTTCTAAAAGCTATTTTAGCAGCAAAAGTTAGGACTTTCTGCAGCCGAGTGACTTTTTCGTGTGATTCAGGAGTACGACGGTTAGCTCAGGATCAGAGTTTCTAGGCAGGATTAAAGTTGGTTGACAGTGGCAGGAGTATATTTGGGCCAGTAACTAGCGCTGCTGTGCCCCTCCTTGCCATTTCATCTGCAGCGTCATTACCATGTCAATTACTGTGCCCTTTAATCACTTGGAAGAGTACCCATTTGTTGTGGCTATGCTTTGATGGCATTTGCAGACAATACCATAGGTGATTGTGTTGCTCTGCAGTGCTTTTAGGATGGCCATGCTGCCTGACAGTATTTGAGCAATAGCTATGGCTAAAATAAAATTTGGTTAATGCTGTGATCTAAGAATATATATGTATCAAATACAATAATATGTATGACAATGTTTATCTTCATTCCATGAATTGCAATTATTTACTACTTGCAATCGTTCAGGTGACCCACCTGGTGGAGACTACTAAGGGGTTGTGAGGTCCAAGGCCCTTTATGGGGGCCCAGCAACGGCCCACTACTGCGACGACCTGGCCATCGGGGTCATAAGGGGGTACCGCACGATCTCTTTTGAGGCGGCGATTTTCCTGGCCGGAACTCCACCATGGGGCCTGGAGGCGAGAGCCCTTGCGGGTCGGTGTATCGGTATCGGTAGCGCACGGAGACGCGGGAGCTGGGAGGGAGTCCTAAGTCGCGAGAAATTGAGGATCAGAAATCCCAGCTCCGCCCGGTCCTCGTGGAGGAGTGGAAGCATTGACTTGGGCAACCGAGCGCTGAGCGAAATGACCTTGTGGCAGTTGGGAGTTCTCTCGCTCGGTAACATGATTGCGGCCATGGTGCGGAGCGAGAGTGCGTGGAACTCCGCCGTCTCCTGCGAGCAGGTCATGCTTGCGAAGGAGATGACGGAGCGAGACCGGGAGAGGTTCAGAACCCTTCCGGCTCGCCAGGCCTGAGATCGGGCCAGGTACCGCAGACGGCTCGGGCGCTCGGACGGCGAGGGCCACCGTCCTCCATAAGCGCAGGCCTGAGGGTGACAGGAGGGTGACTTCTGCTAGTGACATCTGTCACTAGCAGAAGTAGGCCGGGTTGGGTGATGGCGCGACGCGCTACGGAGCGCGCACGCCCTTCGGGGCATGAAGGGAACACACACAGGAGGGGTCATCTATAAGCCGTAGATGGCCCGAGGTACGTCTGGGTACCAGGGCTTTCCTTTCTAGGGTATACCTGGTTCCCCGGCTACTTGTACCTGGAGACGGCGTGTGGTTTTTTGTCGGTTCGAGTCCGACATAATCACCCACTGGTGGGTGGTATCTGAAGGGAGTTCCGCCCAGAAAAAAAAGGTGACCCACCTGCTCGTTTGCCCCCTCTTCCATAAAAAAAAATAATTCTATTGTTTGACCTTTGGGTCGGTAGGGTCACACGTAAATATTATATTTTACAATCTATTTTGTTGGAATTGTTCTAATGGTGTCACAGGTTCAGTAAAAAACTTCATAAACATTACACTTAACTTTTTTAGATGGCGAAAAGCTCGTCGCCAGTACCTCACAATGTCTTCCACTCGTTGGGGCTGGACGGGCGCCTCAGATTTAGCAGACAATGCTGGTGAAGGCGAAAACAGCTCTGGAATACCAGGCGACTCGCTCAACGCTGATGACAGCAGAGATGGCTCTCAGACAGCAGCTAAGGATGATCCAAAAGTAAGAATTAATAAAAATTACTGTATTATGATTTTTATGCTTTCGTAATTTTGTTTAAATAGTGGTTTTTAAACTCTGCACTACATGTGGTGAAGCCCTACAGATTTTTTTATGTTTACAAAAGATTCTGAATAAGACATTATCAGTGACATGGAAGTTTTGGCACAGAAAATAACCCTAAACATGTCAGTATGTGACATGTCTAGGGTTTTTTTCTGAGAAGTAGAATTGTCAGCAGATCTATACAATACTTCATTGTACACTATAAAATATACATCACTAGCTTTTGCCCTCGGGCTCTGCCGGCGTGTATATCGGTTATCGCGGTGAAAATCGCCTATGTCCTTTATCAAGAATCAATCTACCTCAATACCAAATTTCATCTGAATCGGTTCAACGGTTATTGATTCCCCATACAAACTTACGGGGTGTAACACACTTCCGCATTTATTATATTATGGATAAGAACATCTATGTTTAACATAGAACATCAAGTGAATTTATAATTATGTGTATAAAGTGCTTGTTTATATTTTAACCTTGATGTAACTAATTTATATTTGCTTCTCAGGAATGGTTCTATGATGAATTAGCAATGGAAGAAATGGAGACAGGCGAAGAGCCAGATCCAGAGTCCGACGAAGATTACTATGATGACACATATGCGAACAGACGCAAGAGGCGCGGCGGTGCCACACCGACAGGTCCAGGGTCGCGAGGTGGTCGAGTCAGGAAGCAGGTTGATGATACCCCACCTAAGCGAGGGAGAGCAGTGAGTATTTGTGTATACTATATTGCTATAAATTGAATTCAATGAAAAATGTTTGGTGTCTATACTAGAATTCTTGAATTCTAGAAAAACAGAGCCCCGATTTCACATTGAATCGCTCTCGACGGCGAGCGCGTTTAGCGTTACGATTGGTGCAGATTTCAGTGACGTGCCGTGACGATCGAGTAGAATTGAAATAAACTCGCACTTGGCCCTCAGGAATAGGAAGACTCGACTTTACATTATTCATATGGATCTCTAATCCTAGTTTTTGAAGCGTTATAAACAATATCAACATTTAACATATTATATAGTTTACATTATTGTTGTATTAAATTTGTTAATCTATACTATTATAACGCTGAAGAGTTTGTTTAATTGAACGCGCCAATCTCAGGAACGGCCATACACCATTACGCTACGACCCATAGAAATCGAGCATCAATGAAAGATGTTGCAAAAACGGAGAAAATTAATTCCTTTTGAAAGACGCAGACAAAGATGATGGGTCAACTAGTTTTATTATCAGGAAGTTACCTATGTTACTCGCCGATAATGTAGCTTGCCTTTGGTGAGAGACTTTTTAAAATCGGTTTAATGGTTTAGGTGTGAAAGCGTAACAAACAAACAAACTCCACTTTACATTTATAAGTATGGATTATTTTATCACGATATAAGAGGGCTGATGTCTACACATTAGTACCTTCTGCATATACTAAATACTATAATTATGTTTAATTTATAGGGTCGCGGGCGAGGTAAACGAGCTCAAGGAACTCTGCCGTACGAGGTGCCTGGGGACAGCGAGAAGCCGTTCGGCTGCGAACGTAAGTCCTCTCGCAGGCGCCACTAGTGACGTCACGCCTTAGCTCAGGTCTTTACACGTGTCACGTTCCTGATACCGACATCGACATCGTATGCCCACATCTTTTAAACTCGTTTTTAATTTGAAATATTCCACATCCAGGCAGAATTATCTGGATTGGATCTGTGATTGAAATCGACACAATCTGAATATATGTCGTTGCCTACATCATGTTAAAAGTCCTTATGATTAACATACATAGAGATATTGTAGAAAAAAAAATGAAAACTGATTGGTAAGATTCTTGTCTTTATGGAAAACTAGAGATTTTACGCAATGTCGGCTACGGAAGGTTGAAATTAAAGAGTCTAGGAAGAGAACATGAAAAAGCTGCCAATTAATTATAGTGATTTAATAATTATTTTTTAAACTAATCATTTCTAAACAGTCAAAACACTTTGTATATACAGATATGTGATGTGGCTTTCAATTGCGTTCTACTGCTCTTTTCTATAATATCTCTATAGTGATAATGGTTTTGTAAATATTTTTGTAGTCTTTTCAGTAAAAGTTTATAAAACTGCTAAACTTTTACTAAGCAGCTCAGTACATTATATTTTATAACTTTTCAAAGTTTAAAAAGTGACCAAATATTTGTCCATACTTCTGCTAGTATAAATATGTCACTACACTGCCTGTCGAAGCTTTTCCTAGGGTGATTTCCATCACCATTTGTTAATGTTCCTTTCGACGATACATGGTTCTGCAACATACTCGTAGATCACATAATGAATGGTTGCTGAACAGATTATAAAAAGCTTAAAAAACATCTGGCAATATCTTTTTATGTCGTTCTGAATTTTTTTATACTAAATCAAACGTCTGGATTTATCACTCGTAAGCAATATAAATTTGACATCACCCAACGAGTTGTATGGCATTCGTAATTAGTTCTGTTATGTTGTTTTTGAAACTGTTCAATAAGAAATATATCGTTGTATGATAACTAATATCTGCCCACATCGAAATCTCCAATAGTAGAAACGTCTAGACATTCCTGTTAATATAAAAGATGCGGTGGATAGACGAGCAGGCGTGATGTACTTGGTTGTAATTATTATTTATTCTTATTGGTGATGAAGTATAAGCTCTCGAGCGATACAAGGCATTGTAAATACTGACAGAGTTTAAAAACATTGATCATAAAGTGAATCTGCTTTATTACAAATCGTGTTATAAATGCAGTCATATTATTTTTATGTCTTAAAGTCGAAAAAAATAATTGTACTGATAATTGCTCTTTTAAAATGTGAGCGAAATACTAATTTTAAATAAATATTAGACTTAGAGCTCAAACTATGCAATCGAAACGTGGTACTGCTACTTGACCAGATCTGGGGGTACGCCGGTGAAAGAAATAAAGTTGTAATCTTATTTAATCTAATATTGATACGGTTCCTATAAAATCTTTTGAGTTAACAAATTAAGAAACAAATAGATCTCAAAACTGACAGAAGAACTGCGTTGCAATTTGGATTTTTAGATGTACTCTACAGCGGCTTTACTTGATTAACGTCGATTTTTGCTATCGATTTTCACTAGCTCTGTGCCAAATTTCATCCAGATCTCTTCTGGCATGATCGAGTTACAAACATGCACACATCCATCCTCACACAAGGAAATATTTTTTTATAGGATTTTACTATTTGCTCACGACATATAGAATAGAATATAATTATTATTTTATTCACGTTTTAAAAGAGCTTAGAGCCCAAATTGAGTGGCAATTTTGGCACATGCCATATACCCCATCTTGGTTGGCGCCGCAGAATGCGGTCTGTTTCGCGTTTAAAAACGTTGTAATTTTGTTCTCACATTTTATTGGGAAAAGATAAATACAGACATTAAGGTTATTATGAAAAATGAGGTAATTGGCCAATTATTTCTCATGTTAATGACAGTTTTGCTTTAATGGTCATTACACATTTAAATAAACTACATAATCAACTGCTCTCTGTCCACTGTGACATATACCCTACTGTAAAATACAGATAAATTATGAAGTGGTTTTGCTCAACAGTACGTGTAATTATGACCTGAGCATGTGTATTTGTAGAATAATTCAATATTACTACGGTGTTTGTTGTTTAGTGGTGGATGTGGCAAATAAATGAAAAAAAAGATTATTATATCAAGACTTTTCAATACCTAATTGTATAGAACTAGGACTTATGTTTGATCACATAGGATAAAATTGCAATGGTTATATAAAAACAATAGTGTTAATAACCATGTTATGGAACAGACTAGCGACTCATCCCGGCATCGCACAAATGCAATGAAAATTATATATAAACCTTCCTCTTAAAGCACTTTCTCCATTGGCGAAAGTGAAAACTGAAAAAATTAAAATACGTTGCGTAGTTTGAAAGATTTAAGCGTACAAGAACGGAAAGCGACTTCATTTTTATACTATGTAAAAAAATTATTCATAACATAACAAATTGGACTACTTTATGGTTTAAAATGTCAAAATTAACCGCATACATACAGTTAAGAAAAATGTAATTAAATTGATACTAGATTTTTTTAAATCAGCTTTATTGTTATCATTATATATGTTTACATCCACCACTATCCACTAACACACTAGATATATAATACAAAAATATCATTGAATTAAGCATCGTGTAGTTATAAAAAAATATATGAAATAGTGCAGGGCCAATGAGTACTGTAATAGTAGCATTATAGTATTTAGATGGGAATCAGCGAGCAATAAGTAGGTAGAGCTTATTATCGTGCGTCTCACTTACATTTTTAACACCCCCTCACCCCTCGCTCATTTTAAATCTTTGTACTGTTTAAGGCTTTTGTTCTCATATTAAATCATTTCTTGACGGTTTTCAAGAATTACAATCCCTCCGAATTAAAATCTCAATCTTATGTGAACCTGAGAAGCTTTCCCACATTCAAAGTTTTAGCTGAATTTGATTTTATGTTTGTCTATCTGGGTGCGAGTGTGTTGGTCTTTGTTTTGAATGTATTTCAATCTCTTTAATTTTTGCCAATTTTTAGTTTAAATTTCATTAAAGATCTAGTTCCCCAAATGAAGATATTCAAGTTTGTTATTCTGACTAATTGACGGTTGACGGTATTTGGCAACCACTTTAAACGCCATTTTAAACAAAATTGCCTTAAAAAACAATTGTATAGAACGTTATATAATAAATATAGTTTCACGTTAATACTTATACATACAATTATGGCAGTTAATCTTTGTCATATTATAATGTTTTGATCTAATAACATATCAACTGGTACCATGAATATTCATAGTTGAACCAAATTAGACCTTCATATAAAATTTATTCACCCTTTTGCTTTCTTTGAACTGTATTTACAATGAAAATGTATTTACAATGTGTCATAGAAGTCTCCATGTGACGACTTTTTAAAAGTGATTTTGAGATTTTATTTTAATACAATTCTTTAACTCCTTGTAAAATCACAATAGTTAGAAACGATTTTAGTCATATAACTATTACAAATTTAGAAAGACGGAAACCATGCATAGTTTTTTAAGGTGTTCATGTATGGGAGTTGTTCAACACAAAGGGAGCATCATCCGACCAGGCGAGGTATCATGCCTGGCGGACCGCGGCCGGACAGTTGATGTTGGGAAGTTATATATAGTATGTATAGTAATTGGCGCGAGAACTTTAATTGCGCGATGCAAAATAATTAGTTACGTCTACAATTTAATTCAATGTTTTCATCCCGTCTCTTCTAATTTTGATAACTTTATTCGAAGCAAATTTGGCATAGTCTTCATAGTAAATACCTATGTCGTTTAATGACTTAAATAATTCAATTGTCATATCAGTGAAGTTCTTAGCCACAAATCTTCAGAGCTATGAAGACGCACAATAATAAGCCATTGTAAATGTAACGAGTTGCAAACATGCCTTTTCATTGTTGTGTATGTATGTACGTATAATGTGAATAGTAGCTAGTATATAAGAATCTCTGAATACTGTCAGAATTAATGACATTGCTAAATTATAAATAAATTAAGTAGATGATGTGTTTGTATTGTGTTTTGTTGAAACTACAGATATTAATTAAGTTATCGAGCCAGCCGGTGTTGCAAGTGTAAAAAAAATCTGGTATATATGTAAGAGATATATTATGCAGTCTAATGTTTCTGTAGTCTCCACAAAACACTAAACTGTTAGGAATTGGAACGTTTTTAGTGGTCACTTTATTTATATTATGGAGAAAATATTAAATGCATTTAAGTTGAGTTATATGTATAAGACTAAATTTTCGTAGCCCCGCTTCTGAGACGTATTTAAAATGAAAGGCTCGCATTTTGCCTGTTTGTTAGCCCCTCTCTACTGAACTCGTTTTGTTTTTAAATACACGTGAATGCCATGTTAGATCTTGAAATCTGTTCACGTTTCGGTTAAATTTGGAGAATCGATTAAATGGCGCTGGTATCCCATCTAAGCCATCTAGTTTTACCAAATATCTAATATACTGTAGCTCAATGTTCTCGATCTTTTATAAGGTCGTTACAATATCTTAGAAGCAGGGCTAAATTGAGACTTTGAACTAAAATATAGATTATTATTTTGTTAACTTAGCACCCACACTGTTAAGTCGAATTGCACCTTATGTGTGGGCAATTAGGCACTTCTTGCCTTGACCTATAACGGCAGAACTACGTACTTCCTTCAGTCTTCTCTGTTGTTCATATAATAAGAAATTCTACGTTTTACTTTCAATGTAACAGTCACTGGACAACCGAATTGGTTTTTACATAAGTAGGACTCATCATTCGGGATATAGTTTAAAATATACAGCCACTGTATAAAATTTAGACGTTTCCGTACACGTTAGAATTGGTACACTGGTACTTCAAAATGTACGCCTGTTTGTGGGAACTATACATTCACATGTTACGTGTTATCGAAAAGTGTATGAGTGTTTATTGGCTATGATTTTGGAATGAGAGATTGTTAGTGGGACTCTTGCACTACAAAAGGGAAGTAAACAGCCATCACCCAAATATGGTAGTTATCACTATGAAAAGTACTTTCATATGTTCCACTTTACGCTCAGTCTATCTAAATAACAATAATTTACCGTCAATTATATCTGAAACAGTTTAAATATATTGTCATGAAATTTATACGGAACTCATAACACCAATGAATTGATTTTGTTTTACACTGCCACGTGTTTTATCTTATTGTCGAAATATTCTAGCGTAGTGTGTTATTCATAATGTAGGTTAGCCTAGTTATATTTTATATACATTTACATGCGATTCTCTTTATTTAGACCACTGAACTAAATTTGTATACTTGCTATTTCTTTATAACGGTATTAAGATAAATAATTTTCACCTGTTGACTTGTTATTGCTCATATGCAAAAAAAGCTGTATCATGACAAAATGTCTCATAAAAAGATCTGTATTAGAACCTTAATGCTAACGTTCTATTATGTTCTAAAACTACTTGGTCTGTAAGGAGAATCGCAGTGAAAAATCTCGATTACGACTTACAGCTATGATTGATCTTCGTATGATTAATATTATATGTTTGCGCTATAGCGTCTATGCTTTGTCGGCTGTTAGCTCAAAAAAAATTGCTACCAAAATTCGTGTTGTGTGAAAGATCTGAGTCTCCTAATTAAACTAGTGTTGAATCTGATAGATCCTGTAAGATTTGTCAAAATAGGTTAATCGCAAAAAGACGCCGCTACATAGATATATCTTGACCATAATATGCATTCTGAGATATTTTCGAAGAACAACCGCATTTATTGCTATTATCGCGCTCCACGAGACCAGGTTCCTTGAAAAATAAACACTAATTTATCACGGGCCAAAACAAATCTAACGGCGTCGTTCGTAATAATAATTAGTTCTTCACAGATTTTAGTAAAATTAAATAGACCTTTGAGCAATCACAGTCGTACTAAGAATTAAAAAAAAATGTTTTGTTGAATACGTTTTAAATTTCGATAGACCAATCATAGCTTGCGTCACATCCTTTTAAATCGATCTTATGAAATAATCACAATTTTTAAATCACAATATTTGTTAAATTAACGTCCTGATTGGTTTGAACGTGTGACTCATGTGTCTGTGATAGTTTATTTATTTTCCTTTTTTGTAATAAATCTTAGGTAAAATTGACTGTTTTCTCTATGACCAATGACTAAAGTTTTGCACGCTAAATTGTTGATGGCCTGTATCAGAGCTCCTGTTTCTGCCCTGTAATGTCTTATTTACAATTTACTGATATTATGATTGGGTTTCTGATATATATTAAAAAAATGTTATGATGAAGGAAAAAAAAAGTTATGAACTCATTAAGTACTCACAATCCTATAGTAAAAGTCCGATTTTTAAAAGTGGCTGGTCATGCTGCGGCCATACTGCGATACTAAGTTTCAGGAATCCACGACTTGGCGCTTTTGATACTGTTTGCTTAAATGTGACTACTGTGCTGTCCTCTCAAAAAGATAGCACTATGGTAAAATAATCTCATTTAGGAATTGTGTAAATCCTATTCAAGGCGTAGTGCCGTCTGATATTGTCGAAATCTCGCACTTTTCGAGAGCAATGTCTATTAAAATTTCAGTATTATAGTAAAATTTTAGTCATTGTGTGGGTGTTATGCGTTTGGTTTACAATAATATTTTATTTTTAATTGTTTGGAAATATGACATAATTACCCACTAAATTTATAAAATATACATATTGATATGAATGTTTTTGTGATACACATTTTACTAATACAGATTTTACAGTGAAACATATTTTTGAATTTTACTACATATTTTATTGCGTGCAGATATTTTGCAAAATAATCTAAATCTTTTATGGTCATTGTCCGGTCAAAGTCAACATTATAGTTTAAGTTTTAAGTTACTCTTATTATATATTTGTACAATGTTGATAATGTCCGAATTAATGCACCACAATTATACTATTATACAAATTACTGGTAATATTGTCCATATTTCTATAATTTCTTGTATGTATTGGAGCAGTGAAGTATTAGGCGATCGATGTTATTCTTAGACCCAAACTACACTGCCGCGTAGAAAATTGGACGCATTTTAGAATATTTGTCTTTAATGCTGAAAATAATACAATTATTCTGCTCGACGGTGTACTATTATCACCCAAAGATTGTTATGAATTTATACAAGAAATATTTATGTTGAATAGCAAATAAAATTATCCAATGTACTAGTTTTTATTCATATATTAAATTTAAGTGGTTTTGATTTTATGTTATTCGGGAGTTGCTGTAGATTTTGTTATCGACATAATTTTGCAAATAAATATAATAAAGATACAAATTTAAAATAAGTTTGTCCAAAATAATTAAAAAACAAAAAAAAGCATGTTTTATCTGACATTAAATCGGTTAAATACAGTGGCTAATGCGTTATTCTACAGCAAAATCTACAGCTACGTATCACATTACGTGAAAGTGAAAAAATGATTTTGAAATAATAGCGCTGGGCGATCCATAGATTTGAAGTCATCAATCATACGTGCCCCGCGGAGCGTCCTTAGAACTGAACAAAGAATGAATCACGACGGGCCGGCTTTCCACTACTTTGTACTTATAAGAACATTCTGATTTATTCAAAAGTACGTCTTGAGATTTCGTGTAATTTATACAGAAATCTTTTGTACAATATTAGTTTTGTGCACTCTTCTTTAGTGACAAGTCTTTAATAAAAAATAAAAAGCGATATATATGAATGGATTTAAAAAAAAAAGAATTTCTTTTACACTGAAAGTAATTTGAAAGCCTCATCCTTTTCTTACATGAAAGTATTTCATCATTTGTCAATATTATCGAATAACAGTAATTAATATACTTCGATATAAAACAGCCTATAAGTCTGATACTGTTTTCGTTTAAGAGTGCACCAAACTTGTCAATTCAAAAGAACGTTCTTATAAATACTCCTTCAGCTATAGTATAATGATTGATGACGGAAAATTATTGGAAGGCTTCGTTACTGTTCGCCGTCGCCGTCGTGGTGCCTCCTCTGTTCTGTTCTGTTGACGCTAAACTCTTTACCGTACGATTATTACAACGAACGTTATACTGTGATAGTGCAGACGGAGGCATCACCGACGGTAAGTAATATATTTATTTAAGTGAAATGAAAGTACTATGAATCATTCTAAAATCGGTACTCACGAATTAAAAGTAAATAGTGTAATTTTGACGTAACAGTATGCGGAGCCAAGTACAAGACGCGGCCCGGCCTGACGTACCACTTCACGCACACGCACAAGGAGCCGGCGGGCCCGGGCGCCAGCGACGGCGACTCGCGCGACTCGCGGCCCGGCGCGCACACGCCGCCCGCGCACCAGCCCGCCCCTGGGCCGCCCGCCACGGAGTATCAAGACAGTTATGTCACCTTTCTGAATAATCCTGTTGTTGGGACTGGTGAGTAGCTAGTTGACGCATGCACACTAGACGCTTGTAGCTTACTTCATATACTACTCGTTAAATATGTTTATGTAAGTATTATTTATACTTTTTTTTTTGCACGGCACTCATTCTGTATAAAACGTGGAGACTAAAGAATTGTTTAAATATTTTTTTTAAAACTACTTGGGAGGAGAACACGACATCTACGAATATATTCTAATATTAACGATATCACTAACCTTGTATGCTTCTTAAAATTATCCTTTAGAAGTTACATAAATCGTGGTAATGTTAACGTTATGTAGAGTTTATAGTGTAATAAATAATTAACATACTGTTATACGATTGATGCCGAATGCGTAGTGCAGCACGAAGAGTGTGTTTTAAATGTCCTCTGTTAATGTTATGAGAAATAAAAAAGTATTCGATTTAGAATTATGCATGGATATGGATAGTTGTAGAATTATTATTATAGTAGTTTAATGTTTGCTTGTTACTTTAGTTCGTTCCTTGAGTGTGTCGAATTTGAGTAAGTTTGTGGTTGCATTTTGATCGATTTAGAAGGATGACGTTAAGACGTTAGTAAGCTAATAATATATATATGTCTAAATTTGGTTGAATTGGAACATTGGAGATATTTTTTATCTTCTGTAAGTCCGAGTAATATAAAAGCTTAAGGCTAAGGCTTTGAACAATAAGATTTTTTTATGTTAAGTTCATGTTTTAAACCTTCTAAAAAGGCCTTTTCCGTGGGGGGAAATCCGTTAAATTATACCTATAATAAGCCTATGTCGGTGCCTCTGTGGCATCATAACTCCTAATTAATCCACCTATTTTAATTTAGTGTTTTCTTTTTACAAAAGTGATCAAGTGTCCTTAGCTAAAATTTAGAATAATTGTTTAGCCTTTGGATATTTAAAAAACATAATTTATTTGTTTTTACACAAGTACTAAATGTTCATAATTATGAGATTACCTCGTCTGTCTGAAATGTGATTCAGTATGCCCATTGTTATTGCATGAAACTTCTTGATTATTTACAAATTCAAGTCAATACAGTCAATATATCAAAAACAATTTCTTAAAAAGGAGTTGTTACGTATAGCAGGACTCCCAGCTCCTGCAGCTCGGCGGGCCTCTCCACCTCCGCGGCCCGCCTCAGCCGACACGTCGAGTTCAGACTCGGCGCATGTGCCGCTGGCTGCGACGACAACTGCGCCCTCGATGTCTGCGCCGACTCCGTCTATGAGCGGCGCTCCTATGGATCATAAAGAGCCTGACAACAAGGTTAATATACCATGACATTTTAAATTATAGCTAAATAATGAACAGATACAGACGAGTCGGGACAACGACGCGGTATTAACAGTTGAGAAGGTCTATCGCGTCACCTTCCGCTCCCTCTTTTTGGTCGGACCTTTACAATTGTTATAAATCTAATACGATATAATTAATTTTAGGCTTCACCATCACCCTACTGCGACTTTTGCCTCGGCGACGATCGAGAGAACAAGAAGACGGGTACACCGGAGGAACTAGTCAGTTGTTCCGACTGCGGGCGCTCAGGTAAGCGAAGAGGCAGGCCTCCACGTAATGGCCTCCCTAAATCGACCTGCTACCATCTCGAGAATCGCGTCTGCGAACGCCATAGGCATCTACGAGAAAATATAAAACTGAACGGAGTAGTGGAAATACTTAGCTCTATGTCATATTCGGCCGACGCCTTTGACACTTTTGCATCTCAAACTAAACTACTGCACGATGAGTACGGTCAGCATCCCGTGTCACCTTCCTCGCGTCAAAGTCCAAGTTACGAATGTGACGTATACGTGGAATCAAATTAATAATTAATCTGAGTATTATTTGTGTGTTGTCAGTCTCAAAATTATGTTTGTACCCATCACAAAAGTGGTGTATTGTCGGTCTTACCAAAGAAAGTATGTTCGTTTGTGGTTAGATTCTTAAATTATACATTCCAGAGTTCATACTCTCTTAAGCCTTTTTATACATAAAAATATATGTTGTTTGTATAAAAATTGTGGCATCACAATAAAATATTTCGATTTTTAAATATCTTAACTATAATTTAATCATAGGAATTTTAATCGCATATCATTGTGATTTTATAAATCTATACGTGAATGTTTGCACTTCGTGATCTTGGTGTTGCCATGCTAAAATATCAACACTTGTGACAATGGATGCCAAATGAATGATGATATATTTTAAATTGTTGTCTGTTGTAATGTTTGTACCCTAATTATTATTTTTTATTTTTAGTGAGTACTAGTGCCTTAACAAAATATTATTTTTTTATTAGGCAATTCTAGCTCTAGGTGTTGCTATACATTTCTAATAAATTGCTCTGATTGTTGAGATCAAAAAACTAAAGAGTTCAGATATAACTAAAAAGTTTTATATTTTTATTGTTTTTAAATTATGTTGTTAATCAATTGTTATCGCGATTCTATGGATATGTATGGCAACACTACACAAAGATTTATTTAGTAATAGCTTCGCTCCATGCCAAATACATGCGTTAATTTGATTTTATCAATGATGCGCTTTACGTTCAGTTATCCTAGCTTATCTAGTCACGCTATCAAAACAAGTCATTAGCACGCATACCATTATGGTCACCCGACCACGCACATACATTGTAAATAAAGGAAACACTTCTTTTAATGGATTTTATTGCGCTAATTTAAAAAAATACTTATTGCGAGATTGAGTTCTTCTTACATTAATGAACCAGGTATTATATGAATTTATACTGATTATAGTTTATTCGTTGAGGAAATAGTGACGCCAATCAGGTTCCAAGTTTACGTACGAAACGGTACTTTTTTGGAACCTGATTGGTCAGGGGCGGGGCTTGATCGATGCGTCACAATTTTTTAACGCGAATTGGTTCAAGTTTGATTAGAGCTCATTTATCACTACGGCAGTTGACAGTAGTTTATTAAAATAATAGTCAACAGCTATGTGACCAAAACAAACTAATCTTTTGCGATAAAGTCCATTGAAACTGAATAGTATTTTCATAAACGTAAGAAAACGGTATAAGATCTCCTACTATTAAAAATAACATACAATTAATTTGTATAGCACTGTTCGTTTTTAGATAGAAGTATTTAAACTGTTGTCCTTTATTAGTCAGTTCATATTTCGATTTAGTCATAAGTAAGTCAGTTAATTTGACTATTTTCAGTCAGCTCAGTCAGTTACATTTTGATGTGATGATTGGTCGCTTTTATGATTTCACTATCGTCTATAACCCTTTGATAGGAATATAAAGTCTCTTAGGTCTCTATAGATTAGACATGTAATAATTATGTGTATTCATGAAGATCAAGTTTTAGATAGTTGTGTTAACGCATGTAGGAGAATATTAATTCTACTATAAATATAAATACAGTTTAACCCCAAGAAAAACCAAATATTTTTCTCTCTCAATGCAATTTTCTAGTGTTCCATAATTTATCTATAAATGTAAAAAAAAACATAAAATCTGCACCTGTTCTGTGTTACATAGATATATGTATGTTAGAGAAGGTTTACCATGTTCATAAAATGTATATAATAGAATTACTAATAGAAAGTCAATGCGTTCTCCATATTTTAGTTGCCTAAACATTTACCCTAACATGGAACTAACTTTAATAAATATCTTATATAATACATATAAAAAATGTTGCCTCTCATCTCTTTACAGAGTATTCACTTAGAATTTAAAATATTGAACTGAAAGTATCTAAAAAAATGTCACTACTATATAGAGAATGCAATCTAACTGGACTTCACAGAACATTTAAATCAAATTTAGACCCTGGTTTAATTTTTATCTTTAATGCAGTGCTTGAAGAATCCGCGAACAAAAGTTGGGTTTAGGTGGAATTCTATTCATTATTTTATTACTTAAATGGTCTGAGAGAATCACTTTTCATTTAAAAATAAACTCTTGCATCTACTGAGGTTCTTGGTTGAGTTGAAGCGAAAGCTGTTATAATTTCCATTATCTACTGAGGTTAATAATCTTTAATTTAATTTAATCTTCTTTTTAAGATTGTACATGTTGGGATTCGAAAACTGACGATTTATTCAATTTGACACTTTAAACTTGCTTTATAAAAATAATAATTATAAAAATCAGTAACTTGGAACTCGTAAATTTTTATTGGTTAACATTTGAACAATTTGTTTTATAATAAATATTTCAAATATTTATATTACAAATGTATTTCACTAAAAATGGTTAATTACCTATATGTTCAAGTTTTAAATAAATACGTTCATAGAATAATAGTATAACAAATGGTTAAATTTAAAAAAACAAATAAATAACTCTTAGTGAATATATAAAGTTCAACATTGGTTGCGCGCCAATTTATGTAAGTTTAAATAGAAAGTGCTTCTTCGCTTTTTACTGTGATTGCTATCAAACGACCAACTGGGCTTCGGCTATGGCTGTCATTAGTCCGTTAGAGTTTAGGCACCAGAAAATGAGTCAACAGGGGAACGTTGTACGACGCAGTGGAAGTTGGCCGGATCTAATACAGTGTATATATGAATATATGCATTCTATCAACATATAGTAGAGGCAAATACGAATATTCAGATCCACTCTTAGAATATTTACATTTTATAATGATTTAAATATTTGTACACATAATGATGACCTGCATTCTAGATATATGATATGATAAAATGTCATTCCCATAGCTTATTAAATATTTTGTTATAGTTATAAGATTTTATAGGTGACATTAGATTTTAATTGTATTTTAAATCGACATATAAATATATTGCATATTATTGTATATTGACATTTTTCTTTAATACTATTATAGTTATATCATATTATAGATTTAATTATACTAAAGATGCAGTATAGAATCTTGAAACCTAATTGATGAGGCAAAGTTTCAAGTCGGTACGGATGTACTTAAATCTTGGTGCCGGTGTCTTTAATCGAATAAAGCTTGGCGATATAAATATAAGTTACCGTTTTTTGTGTCTTCATATTATATTAAATGGAACTTTTTATGATATTTACACTTACGAGTGTATATATATATCATCGTAACTCTAAGTTAAATGACATATACATTTTATCAAGCAGAGATTAGGTACTAACAGCTGAAAATTCTAAAAAATAGACGGTATTACTCACGTATGTTTTTTTTGACGCCTGGCTAGTTTCGAATACAACGGTATCATTATCAGTCTTTATGCGTGCCAGACAACGTCAAGTTATAATTCATCGGGAAGTCGCTTCATCCCTTGACCATTCCCGAAATACACAGACGTAAGTAAAACCGTATATTCTTTATAAATATGAATAACCATTCATAATAGTTTTTATTATATAATCGATGAAAATATTTACTTTGTTATTAATTTGTTGTTTTTTCAGAAATCCTTAAAAAGAATATATTTTAATATATAGTCATTGTGCATTATATAAAATCAACAATCGTTATGTGTCTTCGTCTGTTAGGTGCCTTAGTATGTGCAATTGTAACTTTTTATATAATTCACTATTCTTACTCGTCGGTATGTATGTTTCAAATTAATAAAAAAGGACCTAAATTTTCGTGAATCATGTGTGACACTGTGAATTTAGATTATCTGTTGATTACTTTTTCGTTTTATCTGACTGCTGTTGATATAAAATTTAACGAGAATCTGTTAATAATGTAAGAATCAAAACCAAACACTGAGGTCCTGATTACATTAATGTATACTAACTTTGTTAGTTAACAAATAAAGATTAATATAATTTAAAGCTAGCAAATTCCAATACAAATTAGTGGCATTCGGCCAAAGCTTTGTCGTTTGTTCACACTAAACTAGTACATATATGATCTTTAATGAATGTAAAATAAAAATGTATACTAACATTGAAAACCTTAAAAATACATACAAATATATATCCGTATAGACAAATAAAATACGATCGAAATATAAATGTATACGCATAATCGCAATTATTTATTTTCTTTGTTTGAAAAAATGTTGTAATGTTTGTTATCTTAAGACATTATGTAGTACCACAATATTACGTTTTTTATATATTTTAATGCTATCACGGAAAAATTTTACTCCGAAGTGTAATGCCTGCAGGGAAGTGCATAAATGCGAATACCCAAAGATTAAAATTAACCTTTTTTCTTGTAGAAAAAAAAAATCAAGTTTCCGTTGTTGTTATTGAACTATTTTTCTTTTATTTTAGCGTAAGTCCGAGAGAAATAGAATTTTAATGTTTTTTATTATTTTATTTTGTAAAATGCTACTTTATCAGAATTAAACTATATGAATTCGAACCGCTTCGATTTTTATTTAGTATTGCTGTGCTGAAGAATAGTGAATGTGCACTTCCCTTAAGACATTTTTATCTTCAATAATAAATTGTAAGTCATAAGTAACGTTTATTAAGTGTTGTTTATTTTTTTTATTTTTTTTTTTCACTATTGTTCGGCACATTATGTTTCCCCTATTAAAAAAATAAAATAACTTTAAACCATAGCAATTTGTGATGGTGATCGAAGATGTTTATAAGGTAAGAAAAGAAAATGTCATGTGCCTTACAATTTGTGAAATTATAATATTTATTTATTATATAACAAAACACACAATGACTCGATTTTGCTAGCTTTCCTATTTAGAAAGAATTGTTGATAGAATTGCACTGATCTCGTTCATTGATGGTCGTCCATCCCTGTCCAAGATAGGTGCAAATCAGTAAACACGTCTAAAGTAATAAATTAGATATAGCATCGTCACCATTGTGTATTTTGGTATTTTATATTTATTCATTTAATAAAGCTCATATATCCTACCAACTAACCAATGTACCTACTTATTGTTCAGGTCACCCAACGTGTCTGCAGTTCACAGTGAACATGATAGTGTCGGTGCGCAAGTACCGCTGGCAGTGCATCGAGTGCAAGTGTTGCTCAGTGTGTGGCACCAGTGACAATGATGTAAGCATATATTCGTCTAATTATCTAAGTTGCGATATCTCTGAAAGGATAGCCAGAGGTGTATTGCCGTCAACCGAACACTAATTGTCTAGACCTTTACAAACTAATGTGAAATAAAACTATACTTAGGACTAGACAAAAGAGCTGTATTCATAGAAAATGTGTTCGCGTCTGTTCTATCTTGATGCGTGTCACGATATGTCGGGTGAGTCTGAGTGACGGGAGACGACGCCGCCTCCGTGTCATGCCACATTATGACATTTGGTGATGGTTTGTTAGCTTGTATCGACTATGCTGGTTAACACTAATTAAATAGAACAGTAAGAAGGTAATAGAAAGAAAAGGAATATCGCTTATACAGATGGATAGCAACGCAAACCGGTAACAGACTGTAGCTGAAAAATCCGACCCCTCTTACCAATTAATAATAGTAACCGATAACTCAATACGCAGTATTATATTATTGTATGATTATGTTGCAGGACCAGCTGTTGTTCTGCGATGACTGTGACCGCGGCTACCACATGTACTGCCTGGCGCCGCCGCTCGATACGCCGCCCGAAGGCTCGTGGTCCTGCGCGCTCTGCATCAAGGAGTTCCACACGCGACGCTGAACGTGTACGTTATTGATACTCTAACTATAATTTTACTGCCATGGACTTTATAGAAGCGTCTGGACCAATAAATTTTGCCAACCCTAAAAAAGCAGTCCAGTGAGACCAGCGGGAGGCATTTAGATGTTGAACTTCCTGGCTCGGTGTAGTAGATAAATCAGGCATCTAACCGTTTGTATAACTGCTTACCGTCATACTAACCCACTTGTATTACCTCAGCACCTTCGCCCGCTGGATGTTACTTTCGATATCAATGGCCCGTGCCCTGTCATCATCCTCTAAGGATGTTTCGTACCACAAATCAATAAAGCTATGTAAGGTTATCTGCGACTAACAAACACGAAACACGTGAAACAAAACACTCAAATTTTTTTTATTACCCGCATCCCCGGGAGAAAGCTTGTATTGATATTATTAGAGCTTTTCGTTGCTCTCAATGTTCTTAATAAAAGATGTCTGAAACGATTTTATTTAGATATTTTTTTTATTTTCTTTCAGATGAAATGATGATGTCTGGTGTGCAAGAAAAATAGCTAGATAGGCGAGATAACGAATTAGTAGCAGCTGTAAGGTTTAAGGTACGACTAGGTGATCAGAGTTGTTAAACAGTGAGGATTGTATACAGTGTTGCCATAGTATAGTGAGAAACTTTGGGGGGAGGGGGGAGGGGGGGGACGATCGCGTTGACATCGTCATCATTCACAGGTTAAGCAGGTTATTCTTCTAGTTATAAATCCATTTAGAATATAACCTTTTCCAACTTTCTAAAAATAAAATATTATATATAAATTACATTTGAAGAAAATTAATTCAGAAAAAGTGCAAGATTCGGATTTTTACAAACTAGTCGTAGTCCGTAAATCGAAATTTGGCAATAAATAATGCAATAATAGCTATGAGTATATGCCGTCGTCTCCCCCTCGCTTCGTGTATCAGTGCATCGTATATTGTCGGCGGACATAGCGTCATAGCTCTTTCTACCTCTAACGGTGCTTGCTTAAGTATTTTTTTATTTATTTACGTACTCTTCTCAACTCATTCACAGTTTCCGAATGTTGGCATGTAACGCATTTGAAAGTAAGATTAAAAATAAACAATAGGCACCTTTTATAATTTTTAATTTTTTTATAAATTAAGTATGAGTGTTCATGAGTGGCACTTCAAAAATTCGAGATTTATTTATTATTATATATATTTGATTACTATTTATTTTTAAAGCGTGTTTATTTAACAACATATTTATTTTACAAATAAATTGAAAAAATATGTTAGTAGTAACCATTATTTCATAGTAATATCGTTCATTCGTCCCTAATCTGTCATATCAGAAAGTTCCATTTGGCTTTGAGGAATGACTTCTCTTGTTGGTAGTTGGTGCTTTACATTCGTGACACACACTATTTGATCATCACTTACCCAGTGACTAAGCTCGTCATGAACGAGCTTCTGAAACGAGAGTTCTTTATAACAAGGCTTGTATATTGTAGTTGCGAAAAAACTGTGTCACATGTGTGTGCTACTTTTGCTACTCTAATTATGTGCTATAGATTTCTAGATCTACAATATTTTTTTTTAAACGTGTACATCTTTAGTGAAACCATTATTTCTAGACCTACAGTTGATAATATGATTATAGTGCTGCACTGTGCAGTAGGATTCTAAAACTTTTAAATGCGTTATGCCAACAAAAAATAAAACCTTTTTTAAAGCGATCAAAGTTTTTAAAATCACATAAAATAAGCTACTATGGTTCTTAGAATTAAAGACTATTTGTTGTAAAAACGTTTAATGTGGAGCGAACGAGTCATTATACGTAATATGTAAGTACGTGTTAGGTTTCACCTTTTGAGAGTGTCCATTACTTGTAGTCTTTCTATGTTGTGTTAAGGGTAGTTGTGGAAACTAAGATTAATACTAAATGATGTGTCCCAACAAATGCTTAAACCATAACTGTAACAGCTGTTTAGCATTAAAAACAAATTTGCCATAACTTTCAAATAAGAATTTTGTGTTATTAATTTGATAGGATATCTATAAAAAAAAATTGACATAAATCATTTTGAAACTATTTATTTCCTCAGATAATTTTCACAAACTACCCTCGCCTACACTAAATTTCACTGTGCTTCGATCGCTGTGTGCGTTTAGTGCTAACGCGGCGTCGAACCCCACACCGGTGCGGCGCCTCGTCCAATCTGTTACGTATAAGTACATTAGTGTATCATGTACATGTTAAGATAACATTTAATTACGGTCTACGCAATGTGTGACATTGTTTAACGAATTAGATAATGCAGAAGTTCTATGGAGACAGTGAATTAATGTACTTTGTAGTTAATATGTCAATATCATTATACAATTATGTTTATTATTATATAAAAATTCCCTGAATTTTGTGTAGACTGGCTTTTGGTGTCATTGAAGCCTATTGAAATTCCAGAATCTGAATACAATCTAGTGAAATGATAATAACATAAGAATTTGAAAATTTGTATATTATTACATGTCAAAGTCTTTTGGTTAGACGGGCGAAGAAAGTCTGGCAGCATCTAGTAGTCAAAATGAGTGTTTAAGACACGTGTGTCCTACCCTGGGTATTAATATTTCTAGTTCATTATTTAATCAATATTCAATTTGAGACCAGACGCAATTTCATTTTTCATACTACCCTACCCCTATTTTCTATAGTAAAATGAAAACAAATTGAGAACATAGCGGGCTGTGTACAATATTAAATTTTGTATACGATTTATTCGTTTAATTAATTATATGATCATCAATATAAATAATTTAATATTCCTTTGATACGTTTAATTTCACTCAAAACTTCGATACATATTATTTACAACTGTACAGTATCTACTCAATAGTGTACGTAATACTTATATATATTTTTATTTTAAATATTTTACTGTGTATATATAGATATAGTTGCGTTCCTGTATCCTTAGACCTTCCGCTTTTAAGGTATTTGAATTGATTGATTGAAAATGTGGGAAATGTAATTATTAATTTAAGTATGTGAAAGCATATAAGCTGTCAGGTCACTGCTATGTGCGTTACCAGAAGCGCACATAAAATTGAACGGTCTCAAAAAAAAACAGTTGTATTTTTGTATAAATTTGTTACTTCAGAGGGCCTTGTGTGAGTTTCATCATCATCATCATCAACAGCCTTTAATAGTCCACTGCTGGACATAAGCCTCTCCTGAGAAAGGAGGTTTTGGCCTACTATACCACGCTGGCCAGACGGGTTGGTAAAGGGTTTGTGTCAAGTTTTCCTTCTCTCTGCAGTGCTGTTGTCCTGCTTAGTTTTTTCCCTTAGTCGGCTCTTACGACACCCACGGGATGAATAGGGGTGGTGACGAAGGGAGTTTTGACAAGGGCAAGGGCCAGGCGAGAACAGGAGGAGGAAGTGTGGGAGGCGCGCTCCACCATGGATATGCTGGAGCGGGAGGGGGAGGAAGGAGGGGATAGACAAGTCGTCTCTGAACACCAGAGGGGACGTGATAATGACGACCAGTACCACTCGGTACGCAGCGGTAGCACTGACTCGAGCCCAAACAGGCATGCAGCACCGGAGTCGGTTGTGTCCAACCGCAACAAGGCCGTGCATGCGGAAAGAGCAAGGAGGAGGGCCGAACTGGTGGCCAAGAAGAGGGGCGTTGTTCCAAGTAAGCCGGAGGCGCGTAAAGTGTTATTACGCAAATACATGCCCGAGTTGGCAGTGAAAATCCCAAGGATGGCGCACGAAAAAACACAGTCGCACTTACTGTCGAGCACGTCATCTGAGGGGTCGGGCGGAGAGACAACGCCACCACCTGCGGGCCCGTCGGACCCGTCCCCATTGACGCAGGCGGTACCGCCGCCAAGCAAAGATGAAATTGACTGGAATGGGGATGTCGATCGTGCCACGTCGGGCCTTGTGACATTGCTCACCGCCAACGGGGAGAGCACACTTGACACTAACACTCTTGAGCTAGGGTTGGGCACGCTCAGGGCGATAGCGGCGCGACACGCCCAACCCGCCCGAGAAGAAGGTGGACGTAACGAGCGCGAGACTGGCAGGGGGTACTACAGCAGAGGCCCTCGCTAAACTAAGCCTAAGCCAGGGGCTGAGCGACACAGACATGGATATTTCACGCCTAGCAGGGGAGGCCCTCTTATTAAACAGGCCTTTGGCTTCCCTCCTCCTGTCGGAGCGTGTGTGCCCGATCGGCGTTGTTCAGCACCTGGCCGGCGAAAGCGATGACGTACGAGTGATGGGAGAACAGAAACCATACGAAAGTATGGAGGCTCTAAAGTCACTCATTTTGTCAAACGAGGGTGGTAGCACACAACCAGGAGATGCACGCCACGAACGGCAACATTAACTTTCAGTTGCCCACGACACGTCCCGAGCGGATGTCATGGCTGCAGCCTTGACGCGAGCGACGCGAGGCGTCCGTCACCGTCATGCCATCCAGGTGGAGACGGAGCGAGGAGGAGGTGCCGATGCTGGTCTACACCAGCAACGTAGCGAATTGAGTTGGGCTGGTCAGCGCCCCACCTACCCGCCACCAGATTTTCTGGTTCTATGGTAGCCTGGCGCAGCCTGCAGCCGTCGGGGCCTCGCCTAACCACGCGTCGGGGTGCGATGAACTGAGTGATGGATCGCCTGCGCGTAGTATCCTTGAGACTACCGGCACTGTGCTGCCCCCACCTCCATCCGCCAGTAGCATATGGGTGGCTCAACACACTGGCTCCCCAGGGCGTATTGTGACGTGGCTTATGCACCGCACGGACTACCGGAGTGCGTGACGCAAGACGACGAAAGCGCCTTCTATTACCACGACCACGCAACAACATTCACAGACAACGTGTTCGTGAGCAAGGCTTTAGCCAACACGGCTCCCGCACTACGTGTAGGAGCCTGGACAAATGAGGCAGAACTCATCACCGGATTGGGCATCGCAACATACGTCCATAGTGAGCGTGGTACCGCCTCCAACGAGGAAGGTACGGCTATGGCGCTGGACGACGTGGAGCGTGCGATGCTCAAACGCCGTCTATATGTGTGAGTTTATTTCACATCAACTTGCTCTCGATGGCTCTCTGTTGTTCGGCGTTGCGATTGATGAAGTGTTCCGTGCGGGCCAATAGTAAAACCGATCGTGGTCACCGTAAAGATTGAGTTGATGTGAAATAAAATCACACTAGGCCCCCAGAACTCCTTCATTTACTAACTGATTTAATTTCCTTTACTTACTTCCGTTTGATCCCTTTCAAATTTGAAATATAAATACCATACCTATGAGTTGAAACTTAAGTTAAAGGATACAGTTTAATATAATGTATTGTTTTGCGAAAAGATGAGTCTTGTGTCCGCTGGATCTGTCTAAAGGATCTAAGCCTAATATTATCTTATACATATATTCTTCACCATCTTCTACATACGGTAGTTACACTACTATCAATTATTCAAAGTGCCCCAAGTTACGTGCACAGCAGTTCCCTGGCAGTATTATGGGTGTTTAAGTTTAAAAGAAACATATTTTTAATATTACGTAAATTGGAGAGGTGTCCATATTTTTGTTATTATACATAATTAATTAACTTTCTTATTTGTACTAAAATGAAATAAATTTGATTTACTTAATTATTCGTCGTATCGCTCAGTCACTTATCAAAACTCATATAAATAAATCGCTTTTTATTTTTTTACTAATCCGGACTTAGGTGTCCTTAGCATTCCAGTTCTAACGTGGACCATTCATTTGTCATCGTAATTTATAAGTGTTCACTCAATTTGTGCGGAGATTTTTAGTAAACTTTTACACAACCCTGATCAAACACAGGAGAAGAGTAAAATTCGGAATGTCTCGCATAAATTATTATCTACAGAAAAATCGCAATCCTTAGTTGAATGTATACGTAATCAATATCATAACGGCTATAGTTCATTCGCGTTAAGAAAAGATGGGGAAATAGTGACGGATCGCACAAACCCCGCTCCTTGACCAATCAGGTTCTAAGCTTTTGCACGAAACTATATTTTCTTGAAACATGATTTGTTGGGGATGGGGCTTGATTGATGCGTCACTATTTTCTTAATGCGATTGGACACGATATACTCTTAAATATGGAAAGGCGGTCTCTCAGCCTTGATATCGGACTATTATCATCCAACATAATGTATGGTGTCTTAGTATCCGTATGTGCATTAGTTTATTTGAAGTACATTGTTAAACCATTTCGAATTGTTCAACACCTTTCGAACAACTTCTTAGTACCATCCAGATGATCTAAGTATTTTTGTCACTTGTTACACTACTTTGTACTTAAGTCACTTACAAATTGAGTGTTCACGTCGTACGCGCTAACTAAAGGATTTATATTTAAATGTGTAAAGAATTTTACCAGATTTATGCGACTAGTTGTAACGGTGTGACATATTAAGAATATAACGCACAAATTATATTTTTTGCCAACTGTTTATACTTTCAATATTATTTGGTTTTATGTGTATATATTGTTTCTCTACTTCAAAAAATCAGTACGACGGAAATAAAGCAAGAGCTAAAGGACTTATTTTTGTATTTGATTATAATAACAACAATTTATTTCAGAAATTAACGCAATCAGTTGGTTCACAGAACTAATGAACAAAGTTCATAACATTGGGTTTTACAAATGAGACGTATTTTACAAGCTTATACGTATGTCATTCATTGTCGATGGTTATATATGAAGTGAAAAATCAACGTTTGCTTCAAAATTTATTTGAGATATGATAGACTTGATCAGACTAGAAATAGTTATCTGCCAGTGTAATTATCCTGTCTACTTATATAATATTTGTCTATTTAATATTTTTCACAGTTCCCAGTAGCTTAAATGTGTGTAAATATTATAGTTTCAAGTCAGCTGTAGTCCTGAATTTATAATTATGACTTAAAATTTATTTACAATTCTTGAAATTAAAAGTTTTGTCCATACAATCCAGTGCGCTTTTGTTTCATTATTGGGAGTACGATTAAAAACTACATTTTTTTTCTGAAATACATTGTGGACTTTCAGATTTGTCTCTTATTTTATTACTAAAATTATAATAAGTATATCATAGTGTGAAAAATTCGCAAAAAAATGTAAATACTTTGTCAAAGCGTATCGCTACGTAATGTATTTTTTTGTAATATAATGACTAGGGAATATTTCTATTCGACATAAGTGAATTGTTTATATTTAAATGTAAAAATACATAGTACTTATTTGCCCTAGTTTTCTAATTATTGTTACTTTTTATTCCATGATTTTAGCCATTGTAGAATATGTTAGCACTTAAACATTTACACAAGGGTAGGTTTCTATGTTGAGTCGGATATGCTAGAGAATAGAAATGGGACGAATTCCGATCGCTTAATTGTGTAAATGGCTGCCGCTTATGTCTGGTAAAATTTAATGTTTAGCATAAAATAATTGTCGTAAGTAAAGCTGTGATCAGATTAGGAGGTTGTGATGGAATTAGCGTGGGTTTACAAGGATTTTTTAATGAAAAGTAATGCTTTTTTATTTTTTAAAACCTTAGTAATTTAGTGCAAGTACCGAATTTTTGCTTTAATATAACGAACGAACAAGTTTTGTATTCCTGCCAGCTTTGATACATAAATATATAGGTACGTTGAGTCGTCGTTCATTCCTTATCGAGGACTTCGAACCAATTTAATATCATTGTTGGTTAACGACTGAGGAATGCCTGTAGCCTGTTCTTTCCAGTAATTATTTAAAGGAATCGTCCGGTGTATCTGAATTGGATTTAAATGAATGATTATGTTACATTATGGGACTAATAATTATTAGTAATATAATAAATAGAGGATTTTGTTTCTTTAAAAATAAGAATTAATAGGGATGTTGACATTAATCACAAATTTATTTTGCGTTGTAACAAAATGATTATGATGTTTAAAACAGACTTTTTTTCTATTCGAACAATTATAGCAGAATCAAAGAACTGTATTAAGATTTATCGTTTATCAAGTGACTACAAACGGTTCTTTCTAAATGATTTTTTTTTTATAGAATACTATTTTTATGTTACATATAAGTCTTAGTTATAAAAAAATATAAGCAGTGCCGTAAATTTACCAACATCCCTAATACTTTGAAGATGTTTCTACTAGCTCATTATATTAATGTAATATTAATTAATTCTGTATCCACCTTCGGTACACCTGCGTCCATTCCCTGTAAAAATTATGAATTTGTTAGATTATATTGTAAAGTAAGATTTCCATCCTGTAATAGGTATTGTGTCATACTATTTGTGGTGACGTAACAGATAAATGAAATGAAATGTACACTACTCGTTTTATTTTCAACCTTAAAATAGTTTATCCGTATCCGCAGATATACGTTTATTTTTATTACTATTACGACATTGTGTATTTCTATTGCTAACATGAACTCACGTACATTCGCGTTTAGAAAATAATGACGCATCCATAAAACCTGACCAATCAGGTTCCAAGTTTTTTCACGAAACCCTAATCTCTTTACACGCATTTTTTTCTTTTTCTTAAAGCGAAATGACAATTATTAAAATATAAAATGCTCACTACATTTTTACCAACACTTCTGACCGTCTTCATAAAGAAATTAAACTCCAAATCTTGGTATCTGTGTAGTCCTTTAAAAAAAAATTAAGCTTATGACGCGTTAACATCTGAGAGAACCGCGCGCTCAGTTGGCTCTGTTACGCAACTCTCTTCCGTGAATGTTCATTAAAATCACTGGTTGCAGGACAGCAAGAGGAATGATATAACAAAAAGTCGGCTGTCGTTTCATAATTACTATGTACTACGAAAAAACTTAAGGTAGAGAGAAGGCGGTAACATACGAAGTCAGTCATAACGTAATGATTAATTCATCAATCATCATTATCAGCCTTTAATGGTCCACTACTGGACATAGGCCACTCCTTAGAAAGCAGGTTATGGCCTACTATACCGCTCTGGTCAGACGGGTTGGGATATGGTTTGTTTAAAGTTCTCCTTTTCTTTGTAGAACTGATGTCCCGCAGGACATCAGTATGTGTATCAATAATTTTCGCATAGTTTGCTCCCTTAGTCGGCTCCTACGACACCCACTGGATGAATAGGGGTGGTGACACTCCGTATTCTGAATCAGTCCCCACACTTCCAAATTATTGAAACACGAAATAATCGGCAAGTACAAAGTAGGTGTGCGTTTCTATTGCTCGGCCACGTTATCCAAACAGTTTTTTTTGTCAAAATTTGTCGGAATCGAAAGGAATAAACCAAAAATTTGTCAATGTAGAAATAAAGAAGTTTATAAGGGTTTTAAATTGGTCGCGCGGTGTCACTAACACTGGCTTGGACACCATCATGGATTTTAATTTTGATAACACATTTTTTTTATCGAAATTTGGTGTGAGTTTCGATTGCTCTGCCAGTATCTAAAAACTCCCCAGCTTGGCCACGTTTATATCTCAAAATGAAATACACCTGCGAAGATCTGTTTTATCACAAATTTAGTCGCCAATTAGTTGAAAATTTTCACCAAATATCAGAATTTGTCGGTCATTGCTTCAAAAGTTATAAGCGTTTAGAGGTGGCCCTGCTAGACTTAGTCTCCCCACCTTGGCCACGCTTATGTGTCAAAAACTAGGGCACCTAGAGTAGATCTGTTTATTCCCAAATTTAGTTGCTAATTTGTCAAAATCAGGAGACATATCAGAACATGTCGGCACGAATTCAAAAGTACGCTTCTAGGTAGCCTACCTGTATAGTCCTGTGAATGACTAAAAATAAGGTAAAGGTTTTGAACAGAACTTCCACCACAAGTTACGTTGCAGAAAACTCCAACTTTTCCACAGCCACAAGATGCACCACACTAGTCTTGTGCTTAACCGGACATCTGCAGGTTCGCACCGTACTACTACAATACGTACAACGTACTAACACACCGTAATAATACTATTAGTACACTTTTTGTAGAAGTAGAAAACTTAAGCGTTTGTATTGACATTACTAACATGATTAAAACGGAATACCAAGTA